ACTGTGTTTATAGTCAGCTGTGAATGCAGGTTTTACTAACCTCTGTTACAAAAAGGAGGGTAAGTACAACTGAACAGGTACTGTCCTAAAGAAGGTTTCAGACTAGAAGCAACTCAAAAGGCTGTAACTGAATCTTAAATGCTAAGACTGTTTAAAAAAGCACTACAGAAGACCAAGCCAAGCACCTTTTTTCCATATCCGGCCAAAATCCACTGGTAGAAAATGTGCTATTCTGATCTCCAAAATACCTAAAAATGTTATGTCATATGAATTTTCCATTATCATAAACACTAGGGTAGGAATATATCATTATGCTTCTAGACTAATAATTGTTTTTGAAAGCTTCTCAAAGGACTTCAGAATATTTCAGTGCATTTTCTACTGACACAGTTTTAGTCCAGTAAGTATGTCCAGACCAATTACCTAGTTCTTTATTCTGCTTCTGGGCAAAACATTTAACAGGTGAGTTTCACAACCTGGAAATACTTCACTGTGTTGTTTTCATGTAAATACTATCTGACAGTGTAAGTTATATTTAAACTTCTTTTTCCTCAGTAATTGTTAAATGAAGTTGATAGAATCATTGCATTAGGAAGAATGCCTTAACTATAAGATTATAATTGACTCTAATTGAAACATACAAAGGGGCATCATCATTCTGCTAAATTTCCTATTGCTGTCTGTGCTAATTGGATGCCACCTAAATTCTCTCTGATTTATTTCTCTCCTGCAACCTGCTGAAGATAAACTTTAAAGGTAAGAAACACTATGTTTTCATAGGGAGTAAATTTCTGTGTTTCCTTCTTTTGACATCAGTGAAATATTTGAACTACCCTGAAATGGGAGGGTGTAATGGCTTGGCTGGGAGAGAGTTAATTTTAATCAGAGTAACTGGTATAGGGCTGTATTTTGGATTTGTGACGAAAATGGTGTTGACAACTTGGGGATGTTTTGGTTATTGCCAAGCAGACCTTGCACAGAGTCAAGGCCCTTACTGCCTCTCACACTGCCCCACCAGTGAGTGCGCTGGGGGAGCATAAGGATTTAGAAGGAGTTAAAACCAGGACAGCTGATCCCAACTGATCCAAGGGATACCTCAGCCCAGGTGATGATGATGATGTGTTTAGCAATCCAAGTTGGGGGAAGAAGGAGGAGAGGGAAGCATTTGAGTTTTGAAGCCATCTGATACATGTGGTGGAGCCCTGCTTTCCTGGAAATGGCTGAACACCTGCCTGCCCATAGGAAGTGTTGAGTGAATTCCTTGCTTGGCTTTACTTGAGTTTCTGCTTTACCAGTTAAGCTATCTTTATCTGAACCCACAGGCTTTCTCACTTTTGCCTTTCCAGTTCTTTTCCCTGTCCCACTGGAGAAGAGTGGCTGTGTAGGGCTGAGCTGCCAGCTCAGGGGGGGTTCAGTTGTGACAAAGGTTTTCTTAACAGACTTGTGAGGTTTTTTCCAGGTCATGGAAGTGAGGGGAGATGACGAATAATCACCCACCACTGCCATGACTGACTTCCTGCAACTAAGGAAACCTCCATCCTGCAGGCTGCAGTGGTGGTGTAGGGAATGTCACTGCCCTGTCCTGCTGGTTAAGTTTAGACACCTCTTCCTCCCTGACTGCTTTATCTATAGCTACTGCAGCAAAACAGTCAGCAAGGAAGATGGCTTTGGAATTTATGATCAAGGGCTTGTGTCTCGAGGATTGGAATACATTTATCTTCTGCAGATCATTCTTGCTAGCTCTTTATTAAACCTATATGTGTCTTGGGAAGGGTATGAAAAGTCTGTTGTGTATTATAATTGGAGAGATGCGGTATCATAACTGGGTAAAAATTAATTAACCCTAGTTACAGTTACACACTTGTTCACAAGTCTCTGATCAACTTAATTTTCTCCCAACTATAAACAATTCTGTTAAGAATGAAAAAAAATATGCATTTGTATTTGCGGGTTAAGTGTTTTCTGGCAATGTTGTACTTGAAAAAGTAATATTGTGAAGTACTAATCTGGCTGGAAAGTATTAGTTCCTACAGCTTTTGGGCCCTAGAGTTTAAGGTTTAAGATGTGGTTGGTATGGAATGAAGGCTTTATGCTAGGTACAGGTCCAATCACTTTAGTGCTCATTAGTTATCATTTAGTCATTAGTTTACTATAATGAAATAAACTCTGCATTGAGAACAGTGGATTGCTTTTAGCCCGTAGCACATCACCCAGAGGAATGCACTTTTCTTTCTCATGATTTTTCAGGCGTGTCTGTTACTAACTACAACTTACACCCAGGTGCTGTCCTAAAGGGACTTGGTTGGCATGAAAAGAAAGTGGTTGTTCCATGCCACAGAAAGTGCGTTAGTGCAGCTGAGACCTCACCAGAAGGCCTCTCAAAGCCATCAAAAGTCATAGGACTAATTGCAAATAACCTGCAACATGTAAGGCTTTTCAAGTTTTCCCCAAAGTTCTTGAATTTAGTACTGTTATCTTGATGGCAACTCTGTAAAGAATCAAGTCTAATTTTTGTTCAGGACAAACAGGTTACTTTGAAAATCCTTTCTTTCACGACTGAATTTTAAAATAAGATTGTTTGTTCTAAATACTTTACAAAACTGTCGTCATAGCAAACCTGAAAAGATTTGGAACTTTAATAACCCCACATCTTTGCTTTGCATTATCTCCCTCACTCCTTCATACTATCATTCTTTTTTTTCCCTTACTTGCATCCTGGTGCAACTTTGATTTAATCTGTTTTAGTTTTTAAATATCTCATTTGTCCCTTCACATTTGATCTTCTGTCACCAGCAGTTAGAGGGCTGACAAGAAAAATCTCTGAATTTTACCTCAGATTTTTTATTTGCAGAGTAGCAGAACAGATTTAAAAAACCAAACCAAACCATTCATTGTAAGTAGATGAAGTCCCAAATATTAACAGAATCTTTGCTGTAACAAAAAGGCATATGAATTCTTGCTTACAAGCAGTTACTTTCATCCTGAAGTTTTTGAAGTCATATAAAACTATTTCAATTAATGACTAAACTTATTTTTAGACTAACATAGTCATTGGTATCTATGAAGGTTCATGTTGTACAGAAAGAAGTACTGGGCATCCTGAAAACCCAGGGAACAGGTAAACATGCTTGCAACACTGAAAGTACCATTTTAAATGCAAGTGGTAAGTGCAATAAAATTCATTTTAGGAAGATGTTATAATACCCTTTAAGGATATTCTGTTCTTTATTGGTATGTTTTACATCACTAGCTCTACACAAGTCCTTCAACAAATACATTTAATAACTTTTAAGTTTGCCTACCACGGATGAATACATAGAAATGGAATGAAACAGAACTGCTCCTAGACAGTCCACAACATGCTAATTTGAGAAAAGGGAATAGAGATACACCACTACAAATCCTTTAAAGCAATCTGGATTTGCTATTATATGAAATCCAAGATTTTTTTAAGTGGGCAGTTTTCCCTGGACAATTTATTACTTTAATCAAAATGGGACAGCAACAAAGAATTACCATAGTTAATAATATATACACTAGCTTTTTACACTAACAGTGTTTTTGTTTGACTTTTATGATTACCGAGCATACTCCCATCTGCTTTTAAGAAGAAAGGGAAAGGTCAATGGAAGTGCCTATGATTTCTTGCTAGTTGCTGTAGAGCTGCATCACAGGAGAAAGGAAAGATAATAATCAGGTGTTCTGCAGCACTTCAAAAGGTGATGAAAACCACAAGAGAGCGCACAATCTCCCCGTGCCAGGTAGGTGCAAGTTATGGTGACAGCTGGATTCCTTTTAATTAGAGGCAAAGTTACTAAGGGACATTTTAAAAATTATTCTTAAATCACTTTAGTGCCAGCTGCTTTAACATTTTGGTTTATACAGTAATTACAGTGAACAAATGACATATTGTCCAACTATATAATAGGATGATCTTGTAATTGCTGTTGTGTTTCACGCCTCTTAAGCACAGCAAACAGTCTTTCTGTTCTTCCAACCAGTTAATCACACGTTTCTGGTTTGTATATATTATGTGAAACATCACCTGCAGAAATAACCAAAGGATTTGGTTCACCAAAACCGCATTACTCAGAGGTTTATTTACCTGAGAGTTACACCTTTGACAGACATCTTTGTTACACCTGCACGGATGCTTAAATCTTCCTTTGGTCCTAGCATGTTCTAGGATTTAAGGGGGGAAATAATAGGCAAGAGGTGGAGAATCAGGGTGGGGCAGGTGTTTTGACTTTTGAAGTGTTAGAGGTGGTTTTTGTACATTCCTGACAACCTGAGGGGTAAGCATCTCCCACCCCCTCTCACACGCAAACAGCATTAAGATGAGCAAACCTTTTTCAGGTTCTACTCATCTACATAATGATAAGGACAAGTATCACACAGAAACCTGCTCAGAAGCAGAGTAGGAATAATGACGTGTGACCCAACTGTGCGTTTTAGTAAACCCCTTGCAGCAAATTTCTGTCTTCCTATATGTTGTCAGTCGTTCTTGTGCAGGGCACATCCCTGAGGCACCTGGATAAGTGTGACCGATGTCAGTTCTCCTCCGTGGACCTGACCTCATCACCTCGCCCAGTCCCAGTGTTCTCACTTAATTCTTGTGCGAACTACTCGCGGGATAGCAAATACAGAACACCCAAGCCTGGCATGAAAGCTGAAAAGCTACCTAGAAAAAGAGTAAACTATTAAGATAGAAAAATGGGATTTTAGAATCCTAAATTAAAAATAATCCGTGCAGGGCGCGGCGGGAGCCGCCCCCGCCGTTCCGTACAGAGACATGGCCGCCCCCATGGAGTCAGGGCCCGCAAACCCCACCCCGCCAGCCCTCCGGGCTGACTCCTGTCCGTACAACAAGATGGCGGCCACCTTTCGCCGACCCCTTCCCGAAGCCAGAAGGCGGCGCCGCGGCCGTAAAGCAGCGCCCGTTTCCCGATCTCCAGCTGTCGCAAACCGGTGAATGGCTGCGGAGAGGGGCCGGGGGGGGTGGGGGACGCGGGCCCGCGCTGGTGGCACGGGGGGGCGGCGGCGCTAGCGGCGGCTCCTCCGCGTCCTGCTGCCCCGGGAAAGCGCTGCCTGCCGGTGGGAGAAGGCCAAGATGGATCCCAACAGGATCATCCAGGCGCTGAAGGGCACCATAGACCCCAAGCTGCGCGTCGCCGCTGAGAACGAGCTCAACCAGGTGAGGGGGGACCCGCGGGCGGCCCGCCCAGCGCGCGGCACGGGGGCGTCCGGCCCCGCCGGCAGGGGCGGGGGGCGACCGCCGCCGGGAGCGCGGGGCCGGGCCGGGCCGGGCGGGTCGCTGACCGCCCCGCTGCGACTCCGGGCAGGCGCTCCCGAATGGCTCTGCCGTGCTGTGCCTCCCGGGCAGGCGCTCCCGAATGGCTCTGCCGTGCTGTGCCTCCCGGGCAGGCGCTCCCGAGTGCGGCAGCCCGGCGCTCGGCGTGGCCGGGCGCTGCCGCCCGGTATCGGCGGGATGACATTGACGTGGCCCCGCGCGGGTCCGCCCGGTATCGGCGGGATGACATTGGCGTGGCCCCGCGCGGGTCCGCCCGGTGTCGGTGGGATGACATTGGCGTGGCCCTGCGCGGGTCCGCCCGGTGTCGGTGGGATGACATTGGCGTGGCCCTGCGCGGGTCGCGCCCCGGCGCTCACGGGACGGGCGGCTGTGACGCTCGGGGGCGCGTTCTGTGCCGTTCGGCAGCACGGCGAGTGAAAGTTGGAGGAAGGCGCCGTAGGTTTCATGGACATCCTACAGTTAATCGTAGAATTGCAGAATATGCAGAGTTGGAAGGGACTCATCAGGATCATCGAGTCCAAGTGCTGGCCCTGCTGCCCAGCACCATCCCCAAGAATCCCACCAAGTGCCCGAGAGTGTTGTCCAAACACTCCCTGAGCTCTGTCAGGCTTGGTGCTGTGACCACTTCCCCGGGGAGCCTGTTCCAGTGCCCAGAAGCCTTCTGGGGAAAAAACCTTCTCCTAGAGTAGCGGCAGTATGCGCTGAATGAAACTGTGACCCCAACCTTTGAACGTTCGAGAAAAGAGAAAGTTCCCTTGCACAGCGTAATGAAACTAATTTCTATGCTTTGATGGAATATTTGATCCATTCACTTTGAGGACTTGGGGTTTTTTGGTTGTGTTGGTGTGTTAAGAAAATAGTCAATGAGAATTGGTTGTCAGGAATTATGTTATTCAGGATTGCTCCTCCAGCTTAGTTTTATATTTAGGCAACTTAAAACTCCTTCTGAATTAGATATAGCTAATCCTTGCTTTAGCAGTTGGTAAATTCCTTTAGTAAATCAGTAGATTAAGTGCTGGACATTGAGAATGCTCCTGTGAATATTTAGATAAGGATGCAAGGCTTTTTTCTTCTTTTTGTCACAGTTGCTTTGAAAATCCATCAGTATCTTTTTTTATCTCTACTGTTAAGGGCTGAGAGGAAAATGACAAATATTTGTTGGCAGCCTGTTGCACAGCAGTCAAAACAACAATACAAACTACTGCTACTACAGTGTTCTGTTCAGAGCAAAGAGACAGCTTCTGGGTTCCTGAGTCCTGCTCCTAACACTGACATCACCAGTGAGTACTGGGAAGTTCAGGAACAGTCTTGAAAGCATTTTAAGACTGAGAACTGTAAAAAGTGATGGATAGTGCAATTCTCATGAAAGACAGGTTTTAGATTCAAGAGTGCAAGCAGACTTACGGAGAACAGGTTGAGATGCAGATTTTTCTTTTAAAATACTTGATGAATTTTCTTTTTTCTACTACAAAGAATGAATCCTGGAATTGAGGCATACCTATTTTTCTGTAGGCTTCCTGTTACCAGGTGAAGTATGATGTATCTGACATAATGTGCTGAGGCAGTGCTGGGTTTGACACGACTCTTTGGAGGAGAGGAACAAAAGTGCTCCTGAGCAGCGTTGCTCAATGTGGGACTTTGACATCTTGAAGCTTTTTAGTGCTTCTGAAGCAAGACTTCAAAGTGACATGTCAGACTCCCCTCCCATGTATCTGATGGTAGTGTTGACATGTCCCTGTGTTCCTGCAAGTGTGGAATCCAGGTGCTCTTCTAGCATTTATCCTGCTCTAGCAAAGGGACCAATCCACCAACCAAACAGAAAATTCTCCATCGATAAGTACCCGAAGTGATGATGGAGCCCTTGGCCGAACAGAACTGGAGTCACCTTTGTTCTGTGTCATAGTTTCAGGGATGCTGCTCTTGAGACAGGTTCAGGGTGCTGAGGTAAAACTTGCCTGTGTTAGCTCATCTGCAGTGTACATTGCCATTCAGCTGTGAATCCCGGTAGTGCCATGAGCTTCTCAGACACTGCAAATCCTACTAGTGCACCAAGACAGTGCCTGTCTGTGGGCACTTCAGTGCTGTATGAGTACAGTCCTTTAGAACAATATCCTAATAGTCCTGACTCCACAGTGTGCTTCCAGTGTAGGGCATGGGAAATAGAGTTTTCATTAATGAAAGCTTTTCTACCGGTAAGAAGTCCCAACATGTTTGAAAATGCTTCTTTCTCCTCTGTATGTTCCTGCACGTGTGTAAAGATACACCCAAATCAGTGATTTTGCTGTCTACCTTCTGGATTATCACCTAACTGCATTCAGAAATGGAATCATGATTCTTTTTTTTTTTCTGTCCTTTTTATATCTATTAGAAGGCTGCTTGTGAATTTTCTTCTGCTTGCAGCTAGAAACAAGTGTTGGTTTTCAGCCAAAATTAGTTTATGGTGCATTTATATCCATTTGTGCCAATCTTACTTCAGGTTTCTTGGTACTCTCTCTGACAGATTTGTCAAAGGCTGATGCCCTAGAGGCCTGTTTTTCTAGCCTCAGCAGGCTGTTTCCTTTGCCATATCATAAAAATGAATTTATGAAATCTAGTAATAGGAGCACAGCTCTTCTCTGCACCAGTTTCCCTTTGAAATAATCTTTCTTGTGGAGTCTGGTCATTTGTGTTTGCAGTGTTCAGAAAGTCTTGTGCTCAAAGCTGCTAATGCCTCAATAAATACTAATACAATTATCTTCTTTGTGTCCAACATCTACATGTTTCTTATCACTCAATATACCAAAGTCCCTTGATCCTTTTATTCTGTTGTTCTTCACTCAGAAACCTCAAGTTTTTCAGAGAAGTTGTGTCATCCTTGGGTACCTGACCGTGTACTTTGGCCTCTTACCCCACTCTGTTCTTGTTGGTGCAGTTTTATAGATCATTCAGTTCTTAGTAGGATTTTTCTGTTCTTCTCCTTGGTTGGTGCTACTTCAAAATCATTAACAAACTTCACCTCTTTCTGTGATCTGAACACAACTGTAAGCATGGGATTTATTTGAAATCTGATTCTTCTAATTTAGAGCAGTTTCCTGCCAGGTCAGTGTCTATGTCATGTAATTGCTGTCATTTCCCTTTTAGCCTCTTGGGTTTCTAAATGTACCCATCTTTCGTCCTTCTCTTCTTCTGCCCCCTTGCCCCGCCTTTTTTTAGTTCAGCTTTGTAATGTAATTAGCATGCACTTGATGATGATATTTATCACTCACACTGTACTTAGTAGAACAGTTAGTTACCATACCAAGAAATATATTCCGTTTCTGTGCATCATTTGTCAGTATCTGTTCCAGGCTATTACTCCTGTTACATCTATCTCCTGGACTTCAAGGACTTTTTGCTGGGTTCATTTATTTATTTATATTATGGTTTTATACTGCTCTCATGTGCCAATTCTTGGAGTACTGTGAAATATACTTGATTGAACAGAGTTATTCTAATTTCAGTTCAGATAGGATTTCCATACAGTTTTTATACATTAATCTTCAGTGGCCCAACATGCTGTAACACATTCCTTTGGCCTGTAGCAAAGGAGAAAACAAGAACTCGATTGCAGAAATACAGTTAGGCTTTTTAAATATTGAGTAGGAGTTACATAATTTGGCTTTGACAGCAACTGAGTAGCAGTGCTGGAAGAAGTGTGAAAAGATTACCCAAAAGCAGAAGAATCCAGAATAAAGTTTGGCTTCCTTACATATCTTTCCATGTCTTTGTTGAGTTGGCTGTTATAGTAGGCAGGGATCTTAAGGCCACTCTGTAAGTGCCAATGAGGACATGGTAACAAGAGGGAGAAATCTGAGACCAATTTGATGAGGAAGTTGACTTGGATAATTAAAAGTTATGTGGAAAGTGAAGTTTCTTTGCTACTGGATGAATATGGCAGCAAAACCCATACAGGAAAGAAATTCAGGTGGGTTCTTACACAAGCTTATTTTCACTCTGTATGAAAACAGTGTGTTTTCCCCTCCCTACATAGTATCTTTGCATATAGGCAGGGAAAGAAAAAAGTATCTTTTGAAGTTCTGGTTTGTTTTAACAACTGTCTCTGACTGACAGTGTAAAAAAACACAAGTGAAAATGCTATTAACTGCTGCAGAAATACTCCTAAGTTTGCCAGTGGAATTTCTAAGTATACATTTCAGTACACAGAAACAGGAAATAAGACTTGGTAAACCTTGGTAAGATGAGCATTTGGATCAGATGTATTTAAGCCTTGAAATTATCTTTGTGAAAAGTTATTTGCTCATAGGTTCAAGGTACAAATTTCTTCTGTGTGCTTGTTTTTGCAAAGATGCAGTGCCTTGTTTTTTCAGTGATTTTTATATGCCGTACTTGTATTCAGAGGTATAAAAATGATGTTTACTACTGGTAGAGAAGGATGATCTGGGCTTGCAGAACGTGAAGGAAGGCTTCCAGATTTCCTATATCCGTTGTCTTAGAGTGTCCTGATGTTTTGCAGGGGAAGAAGCACCTTTCAGTGCCATTTTGCACTCAGGCACTGAAGTTGCCATCAGTACAGTGGGAAGGTTACTGACTCTTGTAGTTCTGGAGCGGTTGTGATCTTTAAATGTGACAACAAGCAAGACACAAGGATAATGCTTCATGAAATTAGTTTAGTAGTGTATGGTGTGTGAGAACCTGGGAGCCAAATATGAACATTAGATGTGAAAAATATTTGCTTCAGTTGGATCCATCTGGGGAGATTTTCATATATATTTTCCTACTTAGCTCTCCTTGTATTTTGCCCCTTTACAAGTGATGGTCTTTATCTTGATGTTGTTCAGTGGCCCATCTGAGGTTCACTTGTGTGTCATATGTTCTGTACCTAATCAAATGGAAGAGGAGATAGGCAGAAAAAGATCTGTTCTCTGATCTTTTGAAGCCTGGAGCTGTGGTGGTGACACAGGGAAGGATACATCAGGCCAAAGGTGGAGGAACAGAGTGCAAAAAGCTGTGCAGCTGCAGTGTACAGGTCCTGAGACAGTGGACACAGATGGAACAACATGCATGGGTCATATGCATCTCTTCTTCACTGCTGTAAATATACCAAATTATGCCTTCCTAATGTATGCCTCTCCCAGTGTAGCTGCTAGCCTTGCACACTGCTGTATCCCATCCTCTTAATCCCAGTGGAAATTAAGTGAGATTCTCTTTTAAGATAAATGCTCTGATCTGGAATTCATACAAGAACAGCCTGTATGTGTTTTACACAGCTTTAAAATAATTACTTTCTGTAAGTACTCAGTGAACATTTGTTTTTCAAAAACTTTCACTTTCTCTTTCAAAATAAACATGTGCCCTAGTGGATCAGCACTTTAACAAAAAGTTTTACCAGGTCCTAGCAATGTGGGTTCAAGGCAATGTAATTATTCAGCAAGTGCACAAAGCACCGTGCTGTGTTGTGGGAGTTGTGCTGAGGGTCTATTTCAGCCATCTGGTGCCTCCCTGTGGCTCCTGGGCACGGCTCTTCAAAATCTGCAGATAGTTTTGTGTTCCTTCTGTGGCACTGACAATATTCCTGCTCTCCTTTTGTTAAGGTGCAGCTGTAGCAATATAAAGAACTGTCTTGTTGAACTGATCCAGCTCCAAGGTCTCTTCCGTGTCCATTTCCATGTCACAGTGTATACCTGACACTTGCTCTGCACCTGCTCCTGTGATAGGTCCGGCTTTGTTTGCTGATGTCCTGAGCAACGCAGGGAAGGGACACATCCCAAGATCACAATTTGCATGACAACTAAACAGACGAGAATGTGCTGGTATAGGAAAAATGTTGCTGCATGCAGCTTTTTAAAAAGTCCTCTGTTCTAAAAACTGCAAACTGCATGTAGTTTTCCTGACCCGGGTTTGTTGCTGCACAAATGAGCAGGGTGTAATTTGAGCTTCACAAATACAACAGAATCGTGTGTCTTGTTTCTGACGTGGGCTCGCAGTCTCTGTTGATCTCTACAGTCTTCTTGTTTCTGATAACGAGTAGTAAACAGAGCTCTGTAAAAATGTGAATTACGGGCACGGCAGTATGAGGGAACAGAAGGATTTAATGGGCCTGGCGATCTCTGTAGGCGCGGTGGTGTGTGAAGTGTAAAGACACGCTCGTCGCGCTGTGCCGGTGGGGATGAGACCCCCTCGGGGACACTGCGCCTTCCGTCTGCGGAACGGGGCTTTTGTCACTCCGCTGCTTGCTGAGCGGATCTGGCACGCAGCCAGATAACCATATTTGTGTAGGTCCTGGCAAAACTTCAGGGAGAGCAGTTGTTCACCAGCACAAGTAGTATTCATAAAGCTTCCTGAAGTAGCAGTGTTTTTAATGTAGATTCAGTAAAAGCTGTTAGGGCAGGGAAAGGGAATTAATATTGTTAGCACTGTGTGCAGCCTAAATGTGCTACTGGTATGATTACAGCAGGAAACCACCACAAATCAAACAGCCCCCAAAGCTGCATTTTTAATTGGTGTGCTTATAGTAGTAAAAGCTTGTAGATTGGGTCTGAGAACAGTCTACAGGCACTGTTGAGAGCCAAAAGGATGGTTAGAGTTTATACATGGTTTTAGGTTTCTGTGCTGCTGCGATTTCTCGTGCTTTCCTTATCTCCGTGCAACTTGGGTGTTGAGTACTGGAGGATGCTGCAGTTGGCTGTGGCCCTGTCAGAACCCACCAAGGGTGTCTAGCAGTGACTGAAGGGCAAGCTTTGTACTCCAGGATACTGGATTAAAAGGTGATCTTTGGAATCCAGTATGCTTCAACAAGTTCGGCATGTCTGTAGATAAATGGAGTTCCTGTGCTGGATGTTACAGCTTTTACTTTATTTGGAACATTTCTTAGGGATAATTAAAGTTTATAGAGAAGGAAATTGCAGGAGAGTATGCTTTTGATTTGCCACTACTGCTTTTATCTCACATCTATGATTACTCTGTAAACATCAAATGACTCTCTGAGTTAGAATTACAGTATCATTATAGTGAATAAAATGAGGGACAGAAAGTTAAGTGATTTGGTGAAATTAAAGAATGATAGTGTCACGATGCAGCTGTGACACTTAGACATCATGAAAGCAGTGTAATTTTACCTTGTTATGGATATGGTAGATCAAAGAACTGGGGACATGAAGGGTGGCAAGTATCTTTTATTTCACAGCCTTTGAATGAGGCAGAGTTTACGGGAGGATGTTCTATACTTGTGCTTTAAGCACAACTCTGGGAACAACCATAGAACTGCCAGGCATAATCTAGTGGGAAGAAATACTATAAAAGGTGAAATACAGAAAACTGCTGCAATCTAGCCCCAAGAAACCTCTCTCTTTGGACATAAAACACATGGATCCAAGGGATGAAAGATCTGACCTACCACTACTGATCTGCCAAGGCTTAGTAGTAACCGTACCATGCTGAGTCAGTGATTCCTCGCTGGAGGAGCCCTGGTGGATAGCAGCAGGATAATGCTATCAGATTGTCACATCTTTTAAATCTGGTGTGCTTTGCTCAGAAGTTCACTGAGCATTGTTTTCTCTTTGAAATTCTTCAGCTGCATGGCTGATGTAGCGTTTGAAAAGTTCCCATGAAGGCTTTGGGTTTTGAAGTGTTGTCTGCCTACACTTGATTTTAATTGAAAATGCTTGTCCCACTGTTTCCCCAGTTTTTATTGAGATGCACTATACATCTAGTTTGCTAAAAGATAATTGTATATGGCTAATGCAGATGATGTTTACACTTGAAAACAAATCTAAATGATTTTTTAAAATCTCTTTGCTGTTGCTGTTCTACCACAAACTATTTTGCTAATAAATAGCATGTATTGGTGAAGCTTGTCAATGTCCATTTGACTTATGGGGCTAAGTTGAACAATTCAAAGACAGGTATCTAGTGCTTTTCACTATGTATTCTTAGAATTATTTAAATATTCATTATCACTAGTCTCTAACTGAGACTCTTTTCACATTACTTATTCTGCCCATGTGCAGTTACAGGCTTTGCTTTTACAAGTAATTATTTGGATTTCTGCAGATCTGGGTGAATTCAAGTCCTGAAAAGTTTCATACATCATGAGGAGGATGCAAAAGTAGTGCAAAATCCTTAGTTTGTATTCCTCATTCAGCATTTGTTAGTACAATCTACTTTAAACATTACTAACTGTGTTGTCTATGTATTTCAGTCCTATAAGATCATCAACTTTGCTCCAAGTCTGCTGCAAATCATAGTATCCGATCAAGTTGAATTTCCAGTGCGTCAAGCAGGTGGGTTAAAACCCCTTGTTCTGTTTTCTTTCAGTAAGTCTGTTACTTGAACAAACTCTTGAACTGTTGCAATGTAAGTCAGTTCAGGTTTGTTCTGAAGGAGGAAATTAAAAGAATCTATCTCTGCTGTTTCTTCCCATCATGAGGATCAGCTAAAACTGTGGGTGTAGGATAGAGTCCTACTTTGGCTTTCCCTGTGTGTGTAGTGATCCCTACTGGAGTGCTGTGATACTGACAGGAAAAAAGCACGAGTTCTCAAAACTGAGAACCCTTAGGTATTATTTCTCCTGGTGGTCCAGGAGTAATTGCCAAGACAAGTGTGAATTTAAAAATAGAAAAGGGTATCACATTTGAGTACACGTTTCTCTATTTGAATCTCTTTTCCCCGGAAAAGTGAAAATTTATGAAAAATGAAAATCACTCTTTAATTAATAGATCAAGGGTAGCCACATACATTTAGTCAGTATCTTGGTGACCTAAATAAGTAGATATGAAAGAAAGCCACATCACTGATAAGTTGCACAGTTACGGTTCTGAGCATGTCTGGAGGGATTGCTCAGCTGTGTGTGTGAGTTCAGGTATAGTGGTGCAGTTAACTTTGGTGCATGCCTTTGTGGAAGATCAGATTCTAAATTCTCATAATCCAGTTTAACTACTCCTGTGTAGTATGTTTGTCAGATACAGAGACTGTTCAGATCTTTCAGTAAATTAATTAATATTGTTTCATTCACAGCTTTGTTCTTATCCTGTGGAACAGCATTTCCCATAGAAGCACTGTTGGTTGTTTTTTTTTTTTTTTTTTTTTTTTGTACAGATCCCATTAATCCCCTGAGTGCTTTGGAGCGTGCTGACATATTTTGTTTGTCATGCTGGCCTTTATTTTTCCAAAGATAATCCAACTTTGAATGGTATTGTTAGTCCATTCTGTAGTAAAGTTTGAGGCTTAATCTAAACTCCATAAGGTCATTTTTATAAACTAATCTCTCGTTTCAGTACCCTTCAGGGAAAAAAACAACTGTGTAGAATGTAATTTTTTTTTTTTTAACAGAATAGGAGTGTAAAATGGAAAAGCAAATTTAAGTCCTATTTGCAAGCCAACAGATTTCCCTGGGAATTTTTTAAAAGCCAAAAATTTGTATAACAACAAGATCTATGGGCAAAATAGATTAAAGTCTTGGGCTGGTCTTTCAGGACCTGTTTCTTGTCTGACTAGTCTGGCATGTCACAGACAAAGAGCTGTTTTTCCTCTTGCTCCTATAAAATATTTTACAGACTACATGATTCCATGCTTTGCAATTTCTTATCACCAAAAGAAATTATTGTACCCAAGGATATCTTATTTCTACTTTAAAACCCTAGCTAGTAATCAACCAAAACAGTGTCCAGGCATAAGAGTTTATTAAGAACATTCCTTTAATGCCTCCTACGATATTTCTTATGTTTCCTGAATAATGCCTTCAGGCAGTTTAGTACTGATGCATAAATGCTGCTTTATTTTCTGTTGAAGATTAGCTTTATTTTTCTTATTTTTTTTTCACATGAGACAGAAGGGAACAATTCGAAGGTATTATGGGAAATCCTAATAGTGAAATAAAGCTTAGGGAATTCACAACAAAGATTTATGCTTGAATAGAAGGTAGGCCACATGCCAGTTTCATACTAGGCATATCCCCAAGCAGAGTGTCCCATCTGTATGTGTAGTGATTTGTTTACACTAGCCTTCCCAAACTTCATTTACTGAGCTTGAGTTGTTGTTTTAGGAATGAGTGAAAACACACATAAGCAGAATTTTGTTGGCTTGTTTAGAATGATGGGATAGTATTTTCATATGGAAGTACTGCTGTAGTAAAAATGTATCTTGATAGATATTGATGGAAATACCATCCTGGTCTGTTCTGATCAGGTGCTTGTGTGAAATCATAAGAAAAATGTTTTTCTGATTCAGCTGTGCTCAGTGCCCATAATTGTTAAGAATTCAGGTAGTGGTTTCCACTTGCCTTTTCAACTCTCTGTTCTTCTTTTAGCCATTCTACATGTTGAGCACTGGGCACTGTGTAGAATTAAAGTATTCTTTCCCTGCTGTCTGTCCTTAGCTGCCATTTACCTGAAGAACATGGTGACACAGTACTGGCCGGACCGTGAGCCACCTCCTGGAGAAGCGGTTTTTCCATTTAATATTCATGAAAATGATCGGCAGCAGATTCGGGATAACATTGTAGAGGGAATCATTCGTTCTCCTGACCTAGTGAGGTACCTTACATTGCACAGAAATGTTTCTGTTGCTCATGTTTCAGACCTACTGGTCTGATGATGTTAACGTGAGAATCTCAATGTTTCGGGAGATGAGACAAATACTGTCTTTGCCAAAGTAATAATAATCTGTTTACACTTATTCATGTGTGTTTTTCAGAAAAGTGGTAACCTGGCAGCGAGCCCTGTGATGTGGTTTATCCTCTCAGGGTGTTGTTCAAAGTGTTTTGTAACACTTGCTGTAGTAAAAGCCTGTCTGTTTGGCTGATTTAAGGCAGATAGTATGTACAGGGTTGTCTGCAATATGGGATTAACCATTCAGGGAAATACTGTCCAAGATTCATTTTTACTAGTAGCCCTTTTCTTAATTACTTTATCAATTTTTGCCTGTAACCCCAGTATTTAACTATATATTAGGGTTCTTGATTTAAGGTGTTAAAAGAATGAAGAATTTCAGTTGTGCTTTTGCTGGAAGAATAGTTAAGAATTACAGACATACTACAGTTATGATTTTTCACCCCTTTAATTAAAGTGAGGCTGATAGGATGGGAGCTGATATTTTCTGCAGGCTTTGTTTCTTCATTGCTTAGCAGAACTAAAAGTGTTTCTCCACAGGCTCTATTCAGTGCTGCTCAGGTTTTTTAGTCACACCTCAGTTTAGTCAATCAACAGTTCTGCCTTGCCTCAGCATTGTGAGTGGCATCTAAAATGGCCAGGAGAGAAACAGTATGGTGTTCTTTAAATTCTTGGCTCTGCCATATGCTTTGGAGGTTAAGAAAGTGCTTTTTCTAGAAGATCCCAGGAAAATTGCAATTTTTTTGAGGAACCTGTGGCTTGGATCATAACACAGGCCATTATTCTTTAATGGAAATGTACAAATTTGTGCTTTTGTGTCTGCTTTCAGCTGATAAGCAAGTATAAACATTTGTTGTCAAAGCACAAAGCTAGTTGGTTCCATGAGCAATTAATTCTTCTAAAATACTGCTTGATTCATGTGAAGAGGGAGGAGGGAGGGAGAAGAGTTGTTAAAATGTTCTGAAATTAGTTTATTCCTTTAAGTTAAAGCGTGTTGGATTTTTTTCTTTTCCTCTGCTACTTCCCAGAACTCTTTCAGTGCTGTCAAAATATGTTCGATGCTTATGACATAAGATAGGTATTGTAGCCAATAAACCAAGATTTGGGATTTATCCTTTAATTTAAACACTATGCCATGACCCTATTCACTTACATTTTTTTCTCCTCTGCACTAGAGCCCAGCTGACGATGTGCCTCCGTGCTATCATTAAACACGACTTCCCTGGCCATTGGACAGCTGTGGTAGACAAGATAGGATACTACCTGCAGTCTCCAAACAGTGGGAGCTGGCTTGGGAGCCTCCTGTGCCTCTATCAGCTGGTGAAGACTTATGAGTAAGTTGATGTCCATCAGTAGATGAGGAATTGGTACTTTGTCTAAATTGATTATAGAAATTGACATTCTTAAGAGTGCTGGCAGTTCTACAAGGGAATTCAGATAGAAAATGGGAATTAATAATTATCATATGCTTCCTTTCTTGCAGATAAATGAAAAATATTCATCATCTTTGTATCATTAGTGAATTGAAAGCAGAACTGCCAGCAGTAATCTGTGTGAATTTACTGAGACTTTTTTCTTGAGGTTTTGTACTTTTGATCTGGCTGTAAAAAACTTCCTTAGGATTATAACTTTCTTTGTTTGAAGGTGCCCCAAATTCTAGATGTATGAATACAAATTATTTTCTGCTTTTATGTCATGAATACAGTGCTGTCATTGTCATATACTGCTATTGCATATTATTATCTGTAGCATCTTCCTGGTTGTCTAAATCCACAAAGCATAAATTAGGAGCAGTGTAGTGGGGCTTATCACTCTTTTTTTTTTAATTGCCTATTATTAGAAACATATGTATAAACCACACAAAAGGAATGTAAATGGAGAAAGAGAATATTTTCCAAATCAAGGAGTTGTCTTTCCCTTTCAATGGCTGTTCACTCCCATTTATTCAGCACCCAACTTGGGTTAGCATTGGTATGAACAGCAGAGAAATTCAATCTGCTCCTGTGAGGTGACAATTCACTAGTAAAGAATAGTAGTTCTTCCTTTCAGAAACTGCTTTTGTATAAGGCAACACTTGTTGTTTTCCATTTTTTTATTTATAGGTATTTTTAGTGAATTTGCACAAAGGGTTTAGATGGGGGTTAGAGGAGGGGAGGGTGATTGAGTGCTGGATATACTTTTTTGTTTTGGCTTTTTTTAGGGCACAGAAGTGAAATTGTTGGTGGGGAATAGGCATTAGAATCACCAGTGTGTAGATCCTGGACCAACATTTTTGTTTTCATTGCAGGTACAAAAAGGCAGAGGAGCGAGATCCCCTCATAGCAGCCATGCAAATATTTTTGCCTCGGATTCAGCAGCAGATGATCCAGCTTCTGCCTGATAACTCCCATTACTCTGTCCTGCTTCAGAAACAAATCTTAAAAATCTTCTATGCTCTTGTTCAGGTTGGCATCTTTTACTTTGCTGGGCACTATGACCCCTTTCAATGCAGTCAGAGCTGTGATTGAATAAGAATTCCCTTTTGGATGGGACAAGTCATGTACAATAAATGGCTATTATAGAAATAGGATGTTTATAGATTTTTTTACTTTAAAGCTGGTTGCATCATTGCCCAGATGAAATTTTTAATGAATGTACGGTGCTTATGCACATTCTATCTGCAAGCTCACTAGAAATGTGTTCCTATTTTTATAAAGTTGCATGTAGCCTGATGTAAACTGCATGGGTATCTAGACAGTGTGGTTGGCCTCTGAAAGTGTCAGTAATGAATATTGTAGTGTAATTGTCAAATGTTGCACTTCAGTAGGAGGCATTTCTCATTACCTGCTGAAAATCTGGCAGATGCTATGTATTGAGGCACATGCACTTTAGAGAGATGAGTTTGGCTTTTACTGAGATGAGTTTTGTGAAGGCGTACTTACAGACAATCAGAAACCAAACCAGATCCTTCATAAGGAACAGCCTGAAAATTCTTACTGTGTGTTAAAAAGCTGAAATAGTTTGTTACTAAATGGATGGAGAATTTTAAAAATACCAAGATCCTATTTTTCTTTTCAATAACTTGCTGAATACTGTTACTTTTCTTTGGATTTTGTAGAGAAATGAGGTTTACTGGATAGTAGCTAGGTAGTAGTAGTGAATCACAGAATCACTAGTTTGACCTTCAAGATTATCAAGTCCAACCCAGCCCTAACACCTCAACTAAACCATGGCACCGAATGCCACGTCCAGTCATTTTTTAAACACATCCAGGGATGGTGACTCCACCACCTCCCAGGGCAGACAATTCCAGTACTTTATCACTCTTTCCATAAAAATCTTCTTCCTAACATCCAAACTATATTTCCCTCGGCACAGCTTAATCCTGTGTCCTCTTGTTCTGTTGGTAGTGAGTACATTTTGCCTGCTAAAATGCTGTTGTTTGCCAAATAGTTTGCCAAAGCCTTGTAATACTGATATTGCTTTAATCCTAAAAAGTACCTGGGCTGTTGTGAAGAAGAAAAACAAAGATAGTTGGCAAGTTCTTAGACCAAGGAACTTTCCTCAAATTATGTCTGCTCGTAAATTCCTCTTCAAATTGTACCAAGAGAGATGCAGCTAGTGTTGATGTGTAACCTAACTGGTTTTAATTTTACTTAAAACCTCATCTTCCTTAGAATGTAACTGCTGCAGAAAGATCTGCCATTTACAGAGAAAAATAGTATTTCATACTTGTGTTTTTCCCTTATTGCAGTATGCATTGCCCCTCCAGTTGGTGAATAACCAGACTATGACTCAATGGATGGAGATCTTCCGGACCATCATTGATAGAAATGTACCACTGGTGAGTTTTACCTTTGTAAAGACCTCTGAAATTTGTGTGTTGGCATTTGAGGAACAGTCAGTGTAAAGATTTTCTAAGTGTTCTTTTCTGAAGATTCTTATCCTTGGATTTTTGAGTCAGAGTGATGTATTCAAGTGTATTTGAGAATTTGCATTTTTTAAATATGCATAATTTTGAAATTAAAATACAGGCATTGTGCAGGTATTGCACATACACATTATACTGCCTAATTAAGATAACTGAAAATTCCTGAGTGTCATGTAACTGTTAACAGAATCAAGGCTTTAGTCTATGCTGTGTGTTTCTATTAGTTTACTCAGGAAGAAGTATTTAAAGCATAATTGCTTCTCAACAAATGACATAACTAGTTTAAAATAAACGTATTTGTTTGTAGGAGACTTTGCAGATTGATGAAGATGATAGACCAGAGCTGGTGTGGTGGAAATGCAAGAAGTGGGCATTGCATATTGTAGCTCGTCTCTTTGAACGGTAACAAACTGATTAAAACCTAAATTTGGGTTACAAGTCTGTACCATGACTTGACATGCAAGTAGAGAAGACAGCTGGATCAATTTAACATTCCTGGTCACTGAAGAGGTTTTCCTGCTGCTGTCCTCTGCCTTGTACTGGCACAACTGCTGGTCTCAGCTCTTAGTGAAATGATTTGACTCCCTTAAGATGGCAAGAAACTTGCCCCACAGGAAAAGTAAATCTAACTACATATTTATTTTACTACACTCAGCTGCAAGTGTTTATATTCTCAAACATAAAGGCAGGGGAAGATTTGAAAAGAAATCCATAAACATGGAAGTTACAGAGCTTGTGAGAAAAAATCATGTTTACTTGAGTATAATACTTACCTTGGGATAATTTAAGAAAACAGAAGTGAGGTGTTACATGGAAAGGATGGCTTAGAAGGAACCTGTGGTAAATTTTTCCTTTGCTAATGCAAGACCACTCAGGGTCCTGTATGTTTTAGGAAGTACAGCATTTCCTTGACGCCACAGACTTCTCACTGTGTAAATATCTGTGTTCTTTTCCTTTTAAAGATATGGAAGTCCTGGAAATGTAACTAAAGAATACTTTGAATTCTCAGACTTCTTTTTAAAAACCTATGCTGTGGGCATACAACAGGTAAGCACAGTTCATTTTTTATGAATTGCATTATTTTGACTGAAGAAATGTATTACTTTTTAGCAGTGTGCTTGTATTGAGGTTCATTTATTGAACAAAAATAATGAGAGTCTGGAAGGTTTTCCTTGTGAGAACTTAGAAGTTCTTTAGAACTCAATGCCTTATAGCTGAGGTATAATAACACAATTTTTCAGCAACTCAAGAAACGCTGCAGGAAAATTCTCAGGAAAGGTGAGTGCTGATAAAATGGTATTATTGTCATGTATAAGCACTCTAGATACAACTGAGGTGCAGAGGCCTCATTTCACAGAAGGGTGTATTTTCAGGCCTGTCTTTGTCAAGTGCTTTAACTGCAAACAACTTAGGCACACTAATCCAATGATACTGTTTTATTTCAGGAAGATACAAGCAGATTAGATGTCTGGAGAACAGCAATGAACATTGTTTTATTCCTGGAAAGCATATTATGTGAAAACATAGCCTAAATTCACTGTTTGCAAGGAAATTATTTTTGTTAGAGAATGCTAATTATTTGTGTTTAACATGGTGTGTGGAGACAGTCCAGTTCTGATAAAGTTGCTAAACAACTCTTACTCTTCTGATAAAGTTGCTAAACAACTATTACTCTTCTTCATCCAGTCTGACAACAGAATATTTTATCCATCAGGAAGAACTAAGGAGGGGAATAGTTGTGATAAGGCTGTAAATTAAATGAAAAGGAAAATAGCCTAATATCTTTTCTAAATTCTTTGCAATGTGTAACTCCTGAGCAGAAAAACAGACTCCCATAGGCAGTTATAATTTGAAATACTTAAAGTTTGTCTGTTAAGGTATTAAACAATGTTGCAGAGGAGACAGTTTAACTTTCAAGTTAAATGTACTGGAGGATCTGCACATTTCTTCAATTTCTGGCTCTTAAATAGTGATTTATCATTATTCCTTGCAGAGTTAGTAATAATTCTGTTGTGAATATTACATTACTAAGCCCTGTTACTTATTCATCAGTTGATAAGTGCTGACATTGTGCTACAGTCTTTATAAGATATAGACAGTTCTTGTCCTTGCAGCATTTCATGTGAAAGACTTAACATCAAACTTAGTATTCCTAATGAAAGAGCTATATTCAAAATAAAATTTATTATAATGTTCTGAAGAATTACAAAGCAGAATTGTTCTGCTGAAAGCATATGACTCAAAATTTTGTTATGCATTGCCCTTGACTTTTGTTGTTATTCATATACATGCCACTTCTTTGCATTTCCTAATAATTCACCTGCCATTGGTGCAGATTAGTAGCTTTATTAGAGGACAGTTTTATACCTAGGAAGCTTTGTGTGGTAGAGTTTGTAATAGCATGCCAGGTGATACTATCTGATGGCTACAATAGGTAATTGAAGTTAAGGGTTTTGCAGCTCTTCTGATTCAGAGGCTTAGGTGAACCTATTTTTCTTCCCTAGTTTAGTATTTCTATTCTCTTCACTGTTCTTCCAAAGTAATTTGTCTTCTTTAGGGACCTGTCATTAAATATGAATGCAGACACCATTCTAGCAGGTATAGAAGCCACCAGTTTGAAAATCTCACTGTGCCTTTTCCTTACCTATTCCAGATTTTGCTGAGGCCTCTCTAAACTATGAACCTTTCACTATTGAAGTATATCTTTGGTTTATGATCACAAGTGATCATATGGTAGGGCTAGTAGTAAAGGTGGACGTCTACATAAATGTCTGCAGGATTAGAACCTTGATATTTAAATTATTTATGATTTTTGGATCAAAGGCATTATAATGATTTCTAATGCTAGAACATCTGCTGTAAAACTACTTTATCTGTTCATGTATATTCATTGAGGAAGTGCACTGTATGTTTATTCATGAGGCAGAATTTTCAGTCTTCATTTAAAAATACCAATTTGTCACTTCTTTAGGTTCTCTTAAGAATCTTAGACCAGTATAGGCAAAAAGACTATGTTGCACCACGTGTTCTTCAGCAAACATTGAATTATCTGAACCAGGGGGTGATTCACTCTATAACATGGAAGCAAATGAAGCCACACATACAGGTCAGTGCTTAAAACCCAGTCATAAACAATGCATGTCATCAGAGGGATTAAAAAAGACCCCCAGTCCCCCAAGTTTTGTGTTTTTAAAAAAGGTTTTGTGAATCATTCAGCAGTTGATCTGGAAAATAAAATAGCATTTCTACACAAATGTAGTTGTGTTTTGTAATATATTACTGCCTTTTATTGCATATAATGTTAACTCAAAGATTCTGTTCCATAAGTTCTTTATTTGAATTTTTACAGTCTGCTAGAAAGTCATAGTGTTCTGACTTTTATTAGATCTGGTGTTCAGAATTGTCATAGATTTTTTATTCTAATGCAAAGATAGTGCACAAAGAGAACATTCATCTAAGAGGAGCTAAACCCTCTTCTAAATACATGTCTTATAAGTGAATTAAAGAGCAAATGAAGAGTGATCTACCTGCTTTTTTATTTTTTTCATATTATAAGATCCCCTTTGTAGTTAGTTAATTCCATGACTTTTAAGGGGAAGGACTCTGAAATCCATTCTTGTGTTAAGTATTGTATTGGTGAGATTCTTCTGCAGAATGTATTATTCTGCTGTGTACGGACTATGTCCTGAAGTGTATTTTTGTGCATGGTGATGTAATATTATAAAGATAGATTGTATAATTACTGCTGCTGTCTGGGACTTTTTCAAAAGGAAAGTACCTATAATTCTGTGAATTTGTTTCTGGTAGACAAAAATAAGTGTGTGCTGCTTAAAGGAATGTAACTCTCCAGAAAAATAAGTCTAATAAATTAGTGCATGGTGGAGGGCAGCTGTACTGGAATTTAATTTTATATGTACTTATGTGTATTTGGCTTTTCTAAAATTAGACTATAACAGAAGAGGTGATATTCTCTCTGATGTGCTACAAAGATGAGGATGAGGAGCTCTGGCAAGAGGATCCATATGAATATATCCGCATGAAATTTGGTAATTTGGCTTTATTTTTTGCTTTCATCATAATTGTACCCTGTAGTTCCAGTGATCAGCATGGCCACTGTAATGTCTCTCTTCACCTGAACAATGGGAAGAAGAAAACTTTTTTCTTAAATCTCACCAATCTGTAGCTAAAACCAGGTGGCAGATCAAGTGAATTTGGGACATTTGGCTGGTAGCTTTGATCTAAATGATTCTCTCAGAGCTTTTTTTCTACTTCACATGTGCTCAGAGCAGCCCAGACAGCCTGACTTGCTCCCTTGTTTGTGCCTGTTTCAGAATCCTGACTTGCAGATGTGCCAGCTGTTTTCAGGTTCCTGCAGCTCTCACTTTGACCAGAAGAGGCCTGACTTACTCTTTCCCTGTTGAAAACTGTCAATAGCTTCAGAGTTCTTCTGTCACTTATTACTACTCAATTGGAAGATAATGAGATATATATATTCTTTCAAAAGATACACTGCAAAATCTTGGGAATAACACATAGGGCCATATTATGAATAATTACATTTATGAAAAGAGTCATGTTATTGAAAAGGAGAAAGGTACTTTAAAAGTACAGCAATTTTATCTGGAAAACTCCTGCAAGCCGGGTGCCACAGAGATATATATATGTGGCATTTGGGAAATTTTAATTAGTTGATTTGGGATTAGTGTATGTGAAAACAGAATTTAAATATTCATAGAATAATTTAAAAGCCTGGAGAGTTGTTATGCAACAAATTAATTACAATATAGTGTAGATCACTAGGGTACAACTACATCCTTGAATTTTGGCATGTGAATTCAGTTCTTTCTTTGTAAGTAGTGAATCTTATTTTTATGTGTAGCTGAGGCTGTTAAATACAGATTCAGATTGTAAGATAAAAAAACACTCAAAGTACATAATACTCATATATCAATGTACATTAAATGGATTTTTTTTTGAGATGCTTTTTCATTTGGAACAAGAATTCTGGTGGTCTGGTAGTATTTCCTGATGATGTTTTATCTTAAAGTTTTCTGGACAAGTTGGTGTGTAATTTGAGCCACATTTTAAGATAGCATTTTAAGATCTTTTAGTTTAATTCAATTTGTGTGGGGATGTTTGGATTAGAACATGTTTACAGCACATCTTTTTTTTCAAGATATAAATTATACTTTCAATATGAACATTGGAGATTTAGTTGCAATAAATGAATCCACAAAACTTGACCTTTCAGCAGATATAAAACTACTCCAGATCTAAGTAGATTTTATGTACGAAAAGTTTCCCATGAGGTTTTAATAAAATCAAGTCAAAAATGTGTACATGTGGTATACAGATGGTACTGGAGTGTATTGTTGTTCTTCTTATAGGGGTTTTAATTAAAAAAAGAGACAGGATTTTTCATCCCTTGTATACATTCTCAAAAGAGCTAATGAATAAATAGTATATTCTTAAATAAGGGATTGAAGAGTGGCAATGGATTTGGAATGCAAGAAGTAAGGTGTGTGACATAAATTTGGGTCTGACTCTTTAACCAGGAAGTGAAAACAATCATGTCAATAATTTTGAGGTTATATATTCATCCAGATTTTGTGATATCCCCAAACCAAGATCGTTTATAAAAATTATATTAGTCAGGAAATTAATTTTTATTATGCTTTTTTCTCCCCGTTTTTTAGATGTATTTGAGGATTATGCATCCACAACAACAGCAGCACAGAATCTCCTTTACACTGCTGCAAAGAAGAGAAAAGAGGTATGAAGCCAATGGCTTTTAAATATTTGAATTTTCCTTAATAATGTTATTTTCCCCTTATATTTGAAGATACTGCAGGAAGCTATATTTTCTTGAAAAATATACTTGCTGCTATGTAGTCAGCTGTTTCCTGGCGAATGCTATCATTCTGGGGAGAGTTAAAATATGGTGTGTATAAATACTAAGTGGATTCTTCTTGCAGATGTAAAATGCATCTGCCAGATACAAAATGGGTTGGAATAGATATATTGGAATAGATTTTCCCAGGTTTACAAACAGCCTCTGTCACAGCTGTTCTCAGCATCACAAACTGTAGCAGGAGGGAAAGTGGATCTGATCCTTATTAATTTTCACTGATGCTGTTTAAAATCCTTAACAGCAATGAAATTAGCAAGGACAAAGCCCATTCCATATAGTTACCCTTTAAATGAGGACATATCTTTTTCTGTAAATCTTTCTGTATTTACCTGTACAAAAATACCCAGGCAAGCCCTGGAAAGCACAATTGGCTAAAATGGCAAATGTTTTTCTAGGTTCCATTTTGACATCTAGTAATCATGGAGCTCCATTTCCAGGTGGATTTTCAGAAGAGAATACAGTCTTTACATTAGGTGGAATAGGTGGAATATTACATTTTTACTTCTCTATTGTCAAAACAGTACTTGTCCACTGATCTTCCTTCTCATTTTCATAATTTGTATTTAGACCATCCCAGTGGCATGTTGGAAAAGGACATAATGGGTGTGGACATCACATTCAGCTGTTGGTTTTGCCAAGGAACTTTTCTAAGTCTAGTCAACTTTAGAAAATACTGCCAAAATCAATATATCAAGTTAAGTTTGAGATTTTAGTCCAAGCTCTCCTTGCAAATATATATATATTTTCATAGATATATGCACACACACATATGTATTTATATGTATGTGTGAGACAAGCCAGAAAAGTAGAGAAAAAGTGGGCGAGGTGATGTTTGAGCTTTTTGCCTTTTCATCACTTTTTTTTATTTGCTTCAAGATAGCGACAAAAATACTTACTTGCTGTAAGTAATGAAAAAATTCATGGAGATTAATCTAATTTTGACCAGTTTGGATGAAAAGTTGAAAATTCCAAAGTTTTACACTTTAACTATTGAAAGATGCTGCATTTAATACCTCACATTGCTTTCACCAGGACAAAGTTTCTTCTTGAAAATGTCATATGAATTTTGTAAACAATGCTATTAAAATAACTTGGCTAAAGGGGACTATGTGTTTTCTGTCCTGCACAGGTATTACCAAAAATGATGGCATATTGCTACCAGATTCTGACAGAGCCAAACATTGACCCAAGGAAAAAAGATGGAGCTTTGCATGTTATAGGATCCCTAGCAGATATTTTACTGAAGGTAAGTGGGTAAAGAAATGTAAAAAATTTTGCAATTCTTGCTGTCAGCTGTGATTTAAAAAAATAGTCTTACTTTATAAAGTATGATTAGCCCTTAGCCATATTTATAAAGTCTGTAGAGAGATTGCACTCTGATTGCAATCAGAATATGAGGTTCTGTTTATTTAAAAATATTAACATTCTTTCCTGGTTTTTATATCACAAATTTTATACACAAACTTTCCTTCTCACGTTTTTCCAAAGCTGTTTGTTATACAACAGTCCCTTGGTCCCCTCCTGCTTTACTAGTAAAATGGAAGTGTTAAGAAAACAAACATGCATTCCATCAGCAACATTGCCTATGATTCTTTATGAAATTCCCCAGCAGCCTGCACTATTATGGGCTTCTTCTGGTTCCAGGAAAAGGTTTACTTAACATATTACAGGAATGTTCTGTCTAGCTTTCCGACTTTTTCACTCTTCAATAAGTGGCTTTAAGTATTATTTCATTTGCCAGTTGGGAGTTTTGAAAAAAGCTGGAAAGAGCAAAGAGCCTTCCTCCATTTTTTTTATAGACAGCATCTTCAGAATTTTGGGTACATTTCTGGATCTGAATGCAAATTTAATGCACACTATTTCTCTCTGATTGATATTGATTACAGTTTGCCTGGTGCTTTTGTAGATGGTGGAGTCCAAAATATGCCTTTGGTCCATCTCAAAAGTAATTGCCAAGACATTATCACTTGTAGCATGAAAATGGTGATCTTGTGCTGGAGGCTTCTTTTAAAAAGTGATTTACTATATTTTATTTGAATTGTCTTACTGTGCAGAATGTGTCTTCATATCACGAGCAAAATCTTACCTTATTTGCCATCTTATCTTATTTGCCATACTTTTTTTTACCAATCTATTTTCTAATCTTAAATCCTGAAACATCAGTAACTTTTGCAGAATTTTTGTAGATTATTTTGGATTGTAAATGCCCTTCCTCATGCAGGAGTATAATAGTGAACGAGGATGACATTGTTTGTGTTGTGAGGAGACTTTCAGATTAACATATATATCTCTGTCCTGTGGGGAAAAAGGGAATTTATTCCAGTATTCTGTTCCTATTTGAAATTTTCAATCCTGAAACGTGAAGTTGTATTGTACTTTATGAAAGAGTGATAGACCCAAACACTATAGACCCCTTAAAAATTTGGATTTCTTGTGTTTGCAATTTGACACCTTGAAACATTCCATCAGCTGTTTCCATATCAATATCCATATTGCAGCATTTGTAAATGCTTTCTGGCTCTTGAGCTGACTGAGACATTGTGTCTGAGGAGCTCACAGACACAATGGCCCTGCCTGAGCCACCTGGCTCCCCACAGCACCCCCAGTTCAGTGCCTACAAACTTCTGGCCAGTGTGCACAAAAGAGCAGTATTTTGCTTTCTCTGTTTTCTCCCTGGTCAGTCCTTCATCCAGCTCTGTGAAGGCTGGGGAATAAGTGTGGAAAAAAAGCTGTGTGCATTGGTGAAATAAAGTGGGATCACGTAAGATACATGTTGTATTGAGTGTCCCATTTCACCCTCTTCTGTCTTAGCCACTGAATCATTCCTCTGGATGGTAACAGCATCCCTAGCATGTAGCTTTTCTATTATTCTGGGACTATAAGGAAAGTCTCAAATCTCCATATTGGTTCTAGCTTCCTGTGAGTGTCTTGGGATTTGCTAAGGTTGGAATCATGAAAAATAACTGCCATCCAGTATCCTTCTCCAGCTAAGGAAACTTGTGTCACAAAGGAATTATCTTCATCCATTAATAAACATGAAAAAAGATGGGATTTGTTGCTGTAGTGTCCAAAATAGTAAGTTTTGATACTTAGAGTAACAGTAGTTCATTTGAAATGTAGATCTGTTCTATACTACACTCATATTTATCTTCAGGTATATATGTACTCCTTTGTAGGAAGAATGGAATTACTAGGTTATTGATCCTTGCTTGTTTTTAAGAAAAATCAGTTGGTACTAATTGCCTTAAATAACATGAAAATTCCAGTTTGCGTGTTGTAATGAATAATGCCAAGTAGAATATTATATGTACAGTTCTTTCACTTACCTGGTTTTGAACTTGCTGTGCTTTTGAGTTGGCTCTGTTCAGGGTAAGGGATCCAGTTCTCTTTGCGGGAGGATACCTTTATTATATAAATTATTGTGTTTCCCATGGTTGATATTTGAAATGCGTTATGGGCTAGAAAGAAGTATGTAAAATGAATGGTCTCCAAAATTAATTTTTCTTTACTCCAACAGAAGAGTGTCTTCAAGGATCAAATGGAGCTGATGTTACAGAATCATGTGTTTCCCTTGTTCATGTCTAACCTGGGATACCTCAGAGCTCGAGTAAGTTCACCTGTTACATCAATTCCAGTATTTGCCATGGCTGCTTCCTTTGCAGTTTGATTTCATTATGAATGTCACTAAAAGAAATTATATAAATAGACAGTAAAATTTAAAATAACATTCTTGTGCTGTATTTTTTCACAATTTTGATTTAAAAAATAATTTTTTCAGTTAAAGGAATTGATTGAGGGTCTGTGCTGTATTAATGCTCACCTCTTCAATCAAACTTAAAATTTTGAGCAGCAATTGTGGCCATTTTTCATTAGCAGAGATGGCTGTGAAGAATAGGCAGGATTTCCACAAGTAGGTAACATCAATTTGAGTGTTGCTTGCAGAAAATCCCCAAGTGCCAATATCAGTCATGGACAAACAGTTTTCATTGGGTTTTTTTGATTTTATTTCCCCCGGAAGGACCAAAGCTATGAATCCAAATTATGTGCACTCTGAATTTATTGGAATTTGGGAACATCTAACAAAGAACTGCTTGAGTGCAATACCTGTGTTATATTTAATGAAAGAATACACCATAATTAAGTAGGAGAAAGAACAACCATGCATGCAGACAGGGAGATAGTTAGCATTGGTTTTGACTCAGCATTTTAAAAATGCTTAAAATTGCCATAGTCCCTAACTTGCTTCTCTTTTTGCCTTGCAGTCCTGTTGGGTACTTCATTCATTTAGTGCTTTGAAATTTCACAATGAGCTAAACTTGAGGAATGCAGTAGAGCTGGCAAAGAAGAGCCTGATTGATGATAAGGAGATGCCTGTCAAAGTAGAAGCAGCCATAGCCCTTCAGACCTTAATAAGCAACCAAGAGCAAGGTACGTGACAGTGATTCATCAGCTATACACACTGATCTATTGATTTTTTGTCAAGACAAGGAGGTTGGTGCAGATTTATCTAAACATTTCTGTCATTTGAAGGCATAGATTTCAGAATATTTTATCATGTTTAGACAAATTCACTTGCTCATTACTTCCCAGAATTCTGACTTCAAGTTTTTATGGCACAAAAGAAGTTAGAATCAGCATGTTTATTTTAATAAAGTAAATATCACCCATGTTTGGGTTTTTTTTAGTGAAGTTAAGCAGTGTATATGTTTAAAAATGAACACTGTTTTATATATGACAGCAAGTGTTCCCTCAAAACTGGATTTTAGCTGTAGGTGGCATTTCAATATTACACAATTTATTTACTCTGTCTACTAGTTATGGACTGTAAAATTGCCTTGGGTATGTTTTTTGGCTTTTTTATGTCTTTAGTGAATTCAAATTTTAAAAACTTACTTTGTTCAAGAGTTGTCAGCTACCTGGTGGTTTGGAGATGCTGTATATTTGTGTTTATGGATAATTGATTTCACCTTGTTTCTATTACCTTTAGCCAAGGAATATGTGAAGCCTTATGTAAGGCCAGTGATGCAGGAGCTCCTGCACATTGTCAGGGAGACAGAAAACGATGATCTCACAAATGTAATCCAGAAGATGATCTACGAGTACAGCCAGGAAGTCGCTACTATCGCTGTGGACATGACTCAACACCTGGTGAGAGGAATAGTAAATTACCACTGCAGTCAGAAGCACATGGCTAGTTTGGAGAACATTTCATGAACTCTGCTTGAAGTACACACTGTTTAAAGTAATCCTTGTAAGAGTCCACCTGTAGTATTTGCAGTATTTTTGGGGTTTTTATCTGTATGAAGCATCTTTAAAACCTATGGATTTTTCAAAGACACTGATTTGTGTCACTGGTTTTAATGAGCCAAGGTCTAACTACTTAGCATTTCAAATGACTTAACGTAGACTTCTGAAAAAAAAAAGAGGAGATTTTAATTTGCTACGTTCCCCTTTCAAAAGCAGCAAGCATATTTTTCAGTGCTGACAGCTCTTACAGATAAGGCATTGCTGCTGCTGCATTAACTGCCTTGGTTTTGAATGACAAATTAGAAATACGGGTTTGCTCTTGAATATCAAGTTGGTTGGTTTTGTTCACAGGCTGAAATATTTGGTAAGGTACTTCAGAGTGAGGAATATGAGGAAGTAGAGGACAAAACGGTTATGGCCATGGGCATCTTGCACACAATTGACACAATCCTGACAGTTGTGGAAGATCACAAGGAGGTGAGGTTTTCCTTGGTGCTTTCCTCCTTTCATTCATGACACAAGAAGCACTTCTGTGTATGTTGCATCACTTGGCATAAACGTGCATTTACTGCAGCAGGATGGTACCAAGCCATCTCTGACAGATTTGAATCTAAAGCCCAGTTTACTTTTGTGATTTATTAATTGTTTAGCTTTCAACTTGAAAGGGAATTTATGTACCAAGGGCGAATTCTTAGCCCTTACTTGGTAAATGCTTCATTGGAATATGCTAGTTTTGGTTGGAGTAGAGTTAATTTTCTTCACAGTGGCTAGTTGTATTACAGAGTGTTAAAGTAGAATTCAAAAAGAAATATTTTGCATAAACCTAGTTTTTTACAGTGATGACCCATATCTTTAGTTTACCCAGCAATATCTTGGACAGAATTCCTAGGAATTGGTCTCCCAGTTGTGAGTTGTATGCCCACAAATCAGGATAAAGAGGTTCTTTCTGCATCAGGGAGATCTTATTTCATAATATTATAATTGTTAATGCAGCATTAAAAAAATGATAAAAGCGTTTTTGATTTGAAGAACTTCTCAAATTGAATTAGTCAAATACATTTAATTGCTGTATTTCTAATTTTTTAATAGGCTGCTTTATGGTTTTATTTCAGATCACTCAACAGCTCGAGAGCATTTGTTTACAGATCATTGGCCTTGTTTTGCAGAAACACGTTATAGGTATGTTTTAGAGATATGTAAATTGATTGTTATCTTCCAGAACAGAATTTCATCTTTTTGTGTGTGTTTCTTTTAAGAAAAAGTCATTACTTTACCATTGTAATTTGTTTCTTCTGATCTACTCTTGTACGTTAGTCTGATTGGCTATTGTGTTTTGGAGGTCAAAAGCTGAAGATGCTGTTCTGATTCTAATTCTGGCTAATTGTGTTAAAGGACAATGTCTACGATTACATTAGTCTCTTACAGACATGGTCTGAAATGAAATTAATGCTTTATCAGTATGCTGCACTAAAAGTTACAGTTTTGTGATAAGGCCTTGCAGAAAAAACAACGGCTGAGGAAAAAATGTATTTTTCAGTAAATCAATTAGAAGCATTGTCTTTAATGTACCGCTGATGTATTTTTTGGTATGGATTTATAGTGAAAAACTATGCATATCATTGTAGCTTTAGCCAATACACGGCATATGTGGAAGAGTCTTTTATAATTTGTTTTATTTTTCTTCGTATGATTTAGTTTCTAATTGCTGTCTTCTAGTTGTTACTAGAAGGCAGCAATTAGAATGACTCAGGACTCAGTTTCAGATTTCAAGATATTTGCAAGTTAAACTTACTTTGTAAAGCACCCTGCTTCAAATTGTGTTTTGCAGAGTTTTATGAAGAAATTCTGTCCTTGGCCTTCAGCTTAACGTGCCAGATGATTTCACCTCAGATGTGGCAGCTTTTAGGTGTTCTGTATGAGGTTTTCCAGCAGGATTGCTTTGAATACTTTGCAGGTAAAGTCACTTCTGTTCTAGTGATGTTTTTACTGTTTGAGAATTCATCTCTAAAACCCACCCTGATGAAGGCTGCTTCCATGTAGTGTCTTGGTTTAAAATGATCATGTATTTGAGTCATGCCCTGCCCGTCTGTTTAGTGTGGGAGTTTAACAGGAGATATTTAAGTAGGAGAAGTGTGTTCAAGTCTGTCAGTGTGATCAGTTGTTGTAGGGGTCCTGAACTCAAAGAAAGTTGAATATTCAAAGTTAATTTGAAACTACAAATTTGTTGATTAAAATGTAATCCTACTCTAGTTCTAAGAATGCACCCTGCACAGTGCATTTTATGAAGAATTCTTCCAGAAAAGACTTCGCAGAGTTTTAATTTCCAGTCATATTCAAGAATATAAGCTAATGAATTTCCCTTTAGGACTACCTCTCTGGTTAACACTTTTTGTAACTTTTTTCTCTTTTGCTCTCCCTGTTCTGCAGACATGATGCCTCTCTTGCATAATTATGTGACCATTGACACTGATACTTTACTGTCTAACCCAAAGCATTTAGAAATCATTTACTCTATGTGTAAAAAGGTAAGGCTGGTGATTCTTACTGTTGTGCTTATCACTAGTACATAACAATTGGAGGAGCTGAGTGACCCGAACGTGCCACGTGGTGGCCAAGCATTTCAGAACTAAGTGAATTCTAGTCTTGACTCAGTTCTGAGTGCATGCAGCACCTTCACACTTTTTAAGTGACATGCTTTAAGAAAATAGCAAAAAGCTGTGTGGGAGAAAGTTGCTGTTCGTCTTGACTCTCTTCCATGGAGAGCTATTTTGGTAGGTAGGGAATTAATGAAGCCTGATTTCCTTGGGTTGTGTATCTTGCAGTTGGGCTCTGGTTGTCAGCTAAGGTGCGAACTCATTTGAAGTTCTTCCTACATTTATCTTGTTTCTCTTTCAGGCTGAGTGTCTCATGTATAATAAAATAGGAGATGATGCTGCAGTCTTCCTCTGATTTGGGGCATTAGAGAGTGTTAGGCATCTAGTACCTGCTTACTTTTAAGAAACGTAGAGTATTTGAATGTGAAAATTTTGCTTCTTTTGTCAGGTTTGATTGACAGTGACCATGGGGTTGAAATGTACCAAGATGAAGCACTCAGTTTCATATGTATGTGCCTACACACAAAATGATTGCATACATCTTGTTCTTAATCAGAAACTAGCCTAGACATAGCACTTCACTTTGCCGTGCTGTTAATCTGCCAGTGACTATTAGAATTGAAGTGAAAAAATGGAAACACAATGTGGAAAACATCAATGATTCTTCTAAGTGACATTTCTTTCAAAAAAAAGGGGAAGTGTGAACATATAAGAAATATAACTCTTTAAGAACTACAGCAGTTTCTTCTAGTTTTTAAAATTCACCGTTAGCCACTTATCCTTGTTTATGTCCTATAGAAATTAATTATGTGTCTTAATTCCTCACAAAATTTAACATGAATACATATTTATATGCTGTGTAGAGATTTTTGGGTGTATGCAGGTACCACGAGCTTTCAGTGTTGTCAGTGACTACTGATAAATTAAATTGTTACTCTGATTGTTAGGTACTGACAGGAGATGCAGGAGAAGATGCAGAGTGCCATGCAGCCAAACTCCTAGAAGTGATTGTTCTTCAGTGCAAAGGACGGGGTATTGACCAGGTGAAACATATTGAACAGGTTTTCTCTTTTATTGCTTTCTAATGATCCATGACTCCTGAGAGAAACAGCTGCAATTAGAGAATCTGAGGGAAATGTACAGTGGGAGGAAAACAGAAAGAAGTAAATGAACTGAGGAAAGTTCATAAGGTTGGGTTTTTTTGATTTTGAGACAAGATGTTAGTGGGCATGACCACAAAATGGATATGGACTGAATTATAAGGATATATAGTATGTTGTGCAAGATTGTAGTTTTTTGCTTTCTCTTAATAGAATTTCTCTTTTGATGCAAAACACATAGTTAAGACTACTGTGGCTGAGAGGTTAACTGTACATATCCAACTGCTGTTGTTTCTCCAAGCTATAGGAACTTTTTGATGTTTTAAATTACTAAGTGCATTTGGAAATGCAGATTTTTTAGCATGGCTTGATTGTGATTGCAGGGAGAAACATAATCACAAATTTCCAGAGTTTCTTAGAACACCTTTTTAGAAAGTAGTCTTTTTCCTGTTAAGGGCCAAATTCTGGACTCATGTAATGAGCCTAAATTACCTTGAGGTATCATGTTTGGTGTTGCTACAGGGTAATTAATGGATTTCAGTGATAAATTTTCAGTTAATTTCACTGAAAGTGATATAAATTTACTAGTGTAAATCTGAAGTAATGGAAGATAAAAATGTTCTCTGAAACATTTGATTTTTTAAAGGAAATCTGGAAGAGTTTAAAATTACTTCAATGTATTGACATTGAAATAAGTATGTGGTAGAAGGCTTAATTGAGCTGTACAACTCTGTGAATTAAAATGGTTGCACACTGAGCTGAAACTCATAAACTAAAGCTTTCGTAATGCTTCCCGAATTTTTGTTAAGTATAAATTTGCCTATTAAAATATATATGTGTTTAGAAGGTGTTTCATTGTTAAGAATTTTGTTCGTATTTGCTTTTATCTGAATAAACTAATTTTAAACTTTCATAAAAAATTTAACATCACTTTACATTTATTAGGAACAACTTATAACTGTGTTACAAATTTTGGTAGTTTAATTTCTAATGTCTGTTAGTTTTGAAATTATTTAGTATCTTTCTTCAAAGATGAGAGTGTCAGAGTTTTTTCCTAAATCTTTTCTGCATGCTACAACAAACTCCACCAAATGGCCCCAAATATTCTCCCCTGTGCTCAGAATAACTCTGCAATTTTTAGCTCAGAGAAGAGTTGTTTGGGGGAAGATTTATAAGCATGTGATCGGAGGCTAGAAAGTGAATAGAATGTGTTCCTTGGTTCTATACCTGAACTTCTGATAACTCAGGACATAATTCTGGTAAAAGTATTACAAAATTTTGTATGATCTGGCAACATGTTTAATTAATGTTTTCTTTTTTTTTTTTTCCCCTTCCTTTTCTTCTTATCTTCTTTTATGCCCAGTGTATTCCCCTCTTTGTGGAGGCTGTTCTGGAGCGCTTGACTCGAGGAGTTAAAACAAGTGAGCTCCGTACCATGTGTCTTCAAGTTGCCATAGCTGCACTCTACTACAATCCTGACCTACTTTTGCACACCTTGGAGAACATCAGATTTCCACACAATCCTGAGCCCATCACTGCACAGTTCATAAACCAGTGGATGAATGACACAGACTGTTTTTTTGGGCAAGTATTGAGGGTTTTTTTTTTACAGTATTCAGTATTGACCAGGTGGTTTTCAACAATGTGAGAAACTATGATCACTCTTGAAAACTTTAAAAGTTTAGTAAGGGATAGAAGGAACAATATCCAGCACTGGGGTGCTTGGCAATTTGCCAAAAGCACACTTAGTTTAAAACAATATTCTCTATACACTGTTCAGTTACAGGGGGTACATGCATATTCATAAGAGTTTATTCAGACGTTCCTGTGAGTTTACACTTTGTAGGAACTCTTTTGCTTAGTTTTGACCTTTGACTTGTCTGCATGGCATCTTGCAGATTAAATCAATATATTTTATTTCTTCTTGAGCCTCCATTCTGTTGTTTTGATACTTCTTCATAATTGGAAAGTCAGTAGTAAATTTTTTTCTCTTGGTGTCCTGGTTCTTGTCACTGTTATCATTCAGATAAGATGGTCCACAAATGTGAGAAACAACCTAGCTTTTCACACCATTATCTGGGCTAGTTACACGAATAAAAGTATTTTAATACATGACTCAGTTTTTATTTTAATATTATGCTAAGCCCTAAGATCTAATATATATTTGTCACACTATTATTTATATAAGCTATATGGTACATACATAAGCTGACAGGTTATATTATACCAAAAAGCAGTTAAAAGGAATTAGAAATTGTATTATATCAGAATCTTTGTGATCAATAATAGCTTGCAAAAGCTAATAAATAAATGTGAAAGCCAGTAACTATATTTATCGTTTATAACAAATAACATGTAAACTTTTTATCTGAAACACTGTTTACATACTTTCTGTTCTGTATTTTTTGTAAGTTATTTTTAACTGTTCCATTTGATTAAAAAAAAAACCAAAACATTACTCTTTGCAGTGAACTCCACTTCTTATTTTAAATGAATTTCCACCATCAACTTGCATATTTATCATTGTGCCATTGACTTCTTGGCATACTGCTGAACGTAAGCATCACTGTGACCTCCCATTAATGTGTGTGTGCTGCACTGGTCTGCACTCAGGCAGGAGCTGAGCATTTGTAAAGTTAATGAAGGGGAGCAAAGCCTGACATCACCTAGCAAAGCATGCATTTGATGCTGAGCAGAGGTGAAGGCCAGTGGTGTCTTAACTGTGAGATTCAAATCCACTTAAGGGCAAAGCTGACAGATGTAGTTAACAGCTACCTCTCAGCTTCCTGCTCAAGTTTTGTTTTGTTACTGGAGGCTGACATCTGCCTGCAGGTGTATGGATAGGCTTAGATGGATATCTTCCTTAAGTTGCTTCTTCCGCATCTTGTGGTAATATTATTGTTGATTGCTAAATTATTTTTATATCTACCAGCTTTAGAAAATGGCAAGACATGTTGGGATTTCTGCATGCCAATTTTCTTTAATGGCTGAAGCAAAGTTCTTGAGCTTCATCTCTTTGTGCTTTCATTTTTTTCTACTACATATCACATGCTGAGCAAATACAGAGACTGTAGGAAAGAAGCTATTCCTTACAGATGGTAAACTGAAAGAGATCTATAGCCTGAAATACTTTATCCTGGAGCATTCAGTGAGAAACTAGTCAGATTCAGAGAGGAAAAATATTGAGGGTCTGACTAGGCTCCAATCTCAAATAGTACTGTGAGCTACAGCTTAATTTTCAGTTGTCCTGCATTGCTCTTCAAAAAGCATCAGCTACTGAAACTACTGTTCAAATAAACTTGTATTTGGAGCTGAGACAAAGGTTAACAAAAAAGTGAAAATGAAAAATTAAACACGCAATTGTCATGCCCATCATTCTACCCAGACTGCACTTGAATGGCAGCAGAGGATTAAAAATATCTCTTTGATCTGCTGCTACCAGCAGAGAAATAATTATCTGTAATATTGCTTAAATCTAAAAGTCACTCTTCTTTCTGTGCTGTCTCCTCACTTTGTGGCTTCCAGGTGCAGGGTAGGGCTTTTGCTGTAGTACTGCTGGTGAGGCACTGTGATGTACTGTAAGGGACTTCCTCCCTTTCCCTCAGGAGAGTGATGCTTCTAGCAGACAATTTGTTTTCTTAGGAGTATTAAAGGAGCCCCAGATTCAGAAGTCTAACGGAACAGGAAAAGACAGAAGTGCAAAAAACTTTGGTGTTCTTAAAACCCTTTCTTGGGTCCCCCCCTAACAAGTTTATGTCATCATAAGAGAGCAGTGGGCACTCTTATTTGTACAGTGCTTTTTCTCATCAGCTGCCATTTGTCATTTTGGTTTACACTTAGTTTGCTTTCCATTAAGAGGCAGTTTTAGGCCCAGATTTAAATCATTTGTTAAACTCACAGATCCTAGAGAAACCGAACAAGATCAAAGTAGATCCACCTCCAGATGTGAAGAACCAGGTGAATCTTGCTGTTATTTCTTTGTCAGCCATGCAGGAAATCTAAAACATGGTGGTGACAGTGGCTGTCCAGGATGCCTTGTCCACATAAATCTCACACTCTTATGTGTGGACACTCCATCCCTGGAAGTGTTCAAGGTCAGGCTGGATGGGGTTTTGACCCACCTGGTCTAGTGGAAGGTGTCCCTGCCCATGGCAGGGGAGTTGGAACTAGATGACCTTTAGCATCTCTTCCAACCCAAACCATTCTATGTCTTTCTCCTTGTCCTGTGAAGTCTTAGTCCCCATAGATTGTGCTCTGCCGGCAGTAGGGTTATGCATGGCTGCACATGCTCAGGCTGGAGCCATTGGTGTTTGCCAAAAGAATGCAGTATTTTTGGAGCAGCATGTATGAACACGTGAGATAGAATCCATGGGGAAAATGCAGGCGAAGAGCAGTTATGGTAAGATAAGTAGCTGTACTTCCATGTTATTAACACCATGGAAACTATTGAAAAAGTGTTACAAAGTTGGCATATTAAAAATTAGCCAGGCAGGGAGAACTCAGAATTCCTTGTAAGACTGTGCATAAATTCAGTATGACATAGTGGAAATCACATATCTGTGGTTGTGTGCTGATAGTGCCTATGTGCCACAGGATATTGTATGTATTTCATCATGTTTTCTGCAATAACTTCACACTGGAAACCCTTTTGCAGAAACATTAGCTCCTTACCACTTTCTACCTTTTTACTGACAGCTGAGGTTTGGGTGAAACTTCTGAATGACTTATGTATTCTCATACTAAAAATTCTTCTATGGTAACCAGGGTGAAAGGAAAATCTCACTTGCTTCAAAAAACCCCTCAGTAAGTGATTATGAGTTTTTTGAAGCTGAATAGGGTTATATATTTGATAAGAGTTTGAGTAGTTAAAAATCCTAGGTTTCTCAGAGTTGCGTATAAAAACGCCAGTCTTATGTTGGTTCCAACTTTGCAACTAGAAGGAAATAGCAACTAACTAGAAGGAAATTATTTGCCGTTTGTCCAGGAACTGGATTGATGTAATAGAAAGAAACTTGATTCTCACAGTAAGAGGAAAGGCTTAGTGATTTTTCTCTGAAATACTGTCAGCTTGGTTTAAAATACAAAAGATTTTAAAATCCTTTGTGCTGTACTAAGGAATATGTGTTAGCAAGAAGAGGTCCTGCAGATTATGAGGACCACACACAGCTTGCTAAAAATAGACTTGGCTTGGAGCATTGCAGTGCTGTGTGTTGTGTGTTTAACACTCCAGCCTTGATAAACTACTGAGGAATAAGCAGAATCCCTGATTGTTAGGGAGGGCTATTGTGTGCTTCTGAGCAAATAAGTACAGATCTCAAAGAACAAATTACTAAGGAGAATCATATCCAGGCTCCCTTGAGCAGATGGAAGGGTGCTGAAATAATGACCCTTTTGATAGCAGTGTAATGGTCCTGAAGCCATTCTTTGCTATTACGAAAATATATAAAGCTCCATGTTCCTTGTTCAGTCCTATGGGTCCTTAATACTGCTGGGGTATAGTAGAATACTGAACTTCAGGCAAGGCAGATGCTTTTCCTGCTCTTTGTCTCTGCTGGCAGGTGAAAGAAAAGTCTCCTTCTGGCTCAGGTTCACTAAAGATGGCTCAATGCCTGAGTTTCTGCTGTCTTGCAGGGCCTTCTAATAGCATGCATATTCTGAAGACATGTGTTCATTCTTGCAACTTCTCTCTTTATCAGCTTTAAAGTGGAGCATGACAAATATGCTGTGGGTTTTGGTCATTTGGGCTGCTTCCCAGTGATGACTCCCTTTCAGACAGCAGGGCTTCGTTATTGCACTTTGATTTGCTGTCCCAAAATGATAATTTAATATGAAGCTAAGCTATTAATTACTAAGATTTTTTTTACATTTTACTGTTGCATATTGCAAGTTGTGCTGTGCAATGGTAGCTTTTTCAAATGTATAATAAAAAATAGTCCTAAGAGTTGTTAGTTTACTCTGGTGCATGTGGCTGAAACTGCTAGTTTGTACATTTGAGTCTTGAAGAAATTTCATTGCTTCCTTGTGTCAAGATGCAGGATAGAAATCTTGTGTGTAGATTACAGAGTTTTGGTCATACTTGGATGACTGCTGACAAAAAGAGGATGTAGATAAAGTTTTTTCCATTTGTGCTTGCACTAAGGATAGCTCTCCAAATAACAGCTATCCTTAATTTACAGGTAGCATTATCTTTAGCTTGGCTTTTGGTCTGCAAAGTATCAGCATGAGAGTGAGCAGCTTGTTTTTAACATGCAGGAGTTAGTCATTTCAGCTGAGAGGAGTAAGGGATTTATAGGTTTTTTTCATGAAAGCAGACCTTGTTCCTCTATCTCAGTCTCCCTGGTTTGTATGCCCTCTTTTGTGACCCATTCCACCTGAAAAGAGAGGATTACGGTTACAGGAACTCTGCATTCCTCTTGCGCTTCGGTGCATTTTTCAACATGTGTAACCAAGCAGCCAAACCCAATGTGACAAAGTGTGTCATTTGATAGCTGGTTGGCTTTGTTGTTCTTGGAAGGTCTGCTGGGATCATAATGTTCTGCATGGTCATATATAATTTATTCTTATTGTCAGCTACTCTTGAGAATGAGTAAATCCTAACAGTACTAACAACATGGGAATTGTCATGAAATCCCTGCAGATCTCTAACCTTGTTTAAGCACAAGTGACATTTAGAAAGTTGCAATATCGGATCACTTGTGTTACTTAAAGGATATAATAGTTCAGTAGCATGTTATATAGGAACTTAGGTAATGAAATGCTAAGCGCTGAAAAGCTGTATTTATGTAGTGATTTTTGAAGTGGTGGATTGGGCTGGTTGTCTCCCTGTTAGCTTTATTGAAGCCTGTGGTGCCAATCATACTTCTTCTTTCTCAACTTGTACTCCTTCATTCCAAAGTAAAACTGATTCAGTAATGGAAGTATCCCAGGAGTTTGGAGGATGGATATTTTCTGCCAGCTCTGGAGGTTTGCTTGGTTTCTCTTAAGTTTTGGTGGCACTACTTCTCTTGCAGAAGGCTTGCACAGAAGCTGTCAGTATCAAATTTGAATTGTTCAAACAAAAAAGCTCCTCTCAAGTGCATAGTAAGAGAATAATGTAATGTTAAGTCTAAGTTGAATTCTTCTTCAGTAAAGGAGAACCAAAGAGTATTTGCAGAGGCATTTAGAGATTTTTTCCCTATCTTATTTGCAGAAATTCCAGTTTCTGGAAGTGAAAATCAATTCTTATGTCTAAGAGCATAGGTTCTTACCTAGTTTCCTGAGTGTGGTCCCATAAAAATTTTTCTGCTACTAATTCAACTAATTTCTTTCTCTTTGATTATCTTCTGTTTGTTTTACTGGAGGTCTACTCATTTGTCAGTTCCCAGTTTGAGTATACTGCCAGTTACTCTTGATAAAATGGAATTATTTCCCTGCTTTCACCAGAGTTAGCAATGTGTCTCAAGTTAGCATTAGAAATTGTATATTGAAATATGTATAAGGCAGCCATTCTGATGGACTTCTCGTAATTTAACTTCAGCTATCCCTGGGGCATTCCGTAAATGCACCCTGTGATTCAATGCATTCCTGCTTATCACTAATAGTTTTTGCCAATTTCCATCCCTGAAACAGTACAGCTATCAAAACCAAGGCAAATTAATTTTCCATCCTATTTAATAATGATAATCTGTATCAAATGCTTTATTAAAGACAAGATAGTCTACATAATTATTAAACAGTATTTATTTAGCATTACAAATTTTGCATTTGGTAATCAGAAAAAGTTGCTCCAGGAGTTTGACCAGTGCTAGAAAGATATTTAATTGTTCTTGGACAAGTACTTTCCAATGGGAAACGTGCATTCAGGATGAAGAAAAGTTTGTGTAGGATCTTTAAACATAGCCTCTGAGACATTGTCTTCTGCCATATCAAACACCAGTATTTTAATGTTCTCTCTATATCCTTGCAGTGAAAATCTGGTTTTAGCTAACAATTGTGTCTTGTTTCAGACTTCATGACAGAAAGATGTGTATAATAGGATTGAGTATCCTAATGGAATTGCAGAACCGACCACCTGCAGTGGATGCTGTGGCTGCCCAGATTGTTCCTTCAATCCTCCTCCTCTTCTTGGGTTTAAAACAAGTTTGCGCCTCACGAGAGCTCACAGAACACGAGGATCATGCTAAAGATGAAAAACACTTTGCAGAAGATAATGGTAAAATCTCCCCTTTTCACATTGTGGATTTTGTCTGGATTTAATTTAAAGGGGGTAAGAAATTGCAGTTTGTTTTTAAGACTCATTAGTCTGCTGAAAATAGTTCGGCTTACTGGGTGCTTGAAATACCATCTTAAGAGTTGATTTTTCCTCCCAAAGTGTAAACAAAATGTTTCAAGGTGTAACAGCTAACGTTCTGTGGAAGGGTAGTATTGGTTCAAGAATAACTTGCAGGTCTACTCTTCTGAGTTGTGAATATGCCCTGTCTTCACACGTAGGCAGCAGGATTTGCCAGGACTCCACTGGGTATATTCTTGCTTCCTTGGAAAGAAACTGTTTCACTACCCAGCTGTTCGAAAGACCTTTTTGATTGAATTTTGAAGAAGATCCTGGCAGCTCTTCTTTGTCCAAATGGAAAGTTGTTTGCAAAGTGGGGTTTGAGACAGCTGAGGTTCCTTGAGCATACAGGCCTCTAACCTTTGTGTCTGCCAGAAAAGAAAAAACATCAAAGAATGCCTTACAGAGGGAATTGTGGGGGGGAATTCTCCACAGCATTGCAGGCAAATGTGTTTGACAAGGAGTAGATATTTTGAGGTCTGAAAATTAGATTGGATGTAAGCAGATTATGTAATCCGCTCACATTTCACCCATGATGGTTCTGTAATGGAATCACAGTATTCTTCTCAATACATAGGAATACGGTATGGAAACAGCACAGGAATGTTCAGATCTCTATCCTGTGATTCAGTCCCTGCTTGCTGCATCTATAGTTATCTTTATTTTTTCTAAACTGTTAACAGAGGAAGAGCTGCAGATTCAGAATTTAAGGTTTTAGTTTTTAAAAATCTTGATTATAAGCCAGAAATACCTTTCCTTAAGTAAGAAGAAGCAGTATTTAGAATTGCAGGTTGTAGTTGCCTTTAATTCAGGGGGTCATAGTTTCATAAGTGGAATGGAAGGTAACACCACCTTAACGTGTTGGTTTAAGTTGTTCAAATAAGGCAACACTAAAGAAGAGAAGGCAGACAGTTGGTCCACAGATTAATTTCTCATGGTTTTATGTACATTTGTGAATTCTATGCAAGTCTCTGTAATTTAAAAAGCAGAGTGATGGACCATTTAATCAAAGACATTTTCTCAAAAATTTTGGATCCTCTAATTGCACAATGATTGCATAAATAAAAGAAGAAAAAAGATGGCAGTTTCACCTGCCTCAGGTCTGCATAGAAACAAAACTTTAACTGATCTTGAATGTAGGAAATGCTTCAACATTTAACATAAGACTTTTAAGATTTTGGGGAGGAGGTATTAACAGATGGTCCCCTTTCCAGCCAAAACCTAGATTTACTAATTGTTTTTAATTCATCAGTCATTGTTTCCTTATAGTTTTAAACTTTGTTTTACAAAACATATCAATGCTTTTGCAGAAGAGATACCAAGCGATGAGGATGAGACAAATGAAGTGAGCCAGGCAATGCAAGAGAACCACAGTGGAGGAGGAGGTGGCAGTGCTGGAGCTGGAGAGGAAGAGGATGAAGATGATGATGATGATGACTGGGATGAAGATGCATTGGAGGAGACTGCTCTTGAAGGGTTCAGCACACCTCTTGACCTTGAAAATGGTGTTGATGAATACCAGTTTTTTACACAAGCACTTCTGAGTATGTGTTTGCTGTTTGGCAGAATGATATAACATGATGAAATTATTTGGAGATGTTTATGGTCATCAGTGGGGAAAACCCTTTTCTTTGTTACAAGTAATAGTTTAGATTACTGAAACTGTAAAATGTGATCTCACTTTCTAATGTTAGTCCTACGATTTTTTGGCTTACTAGTGCTGCAAAAAACAAATGGTAGCAAATAGAGCCAGAGATTAATTCTCTTCACGTTCTCCCTCAGAATTTTTCAATCACAGCCTAAATAAGTGGAGCTTGGTCACTAGAAGGACTCCTATATAGAGAAATATTTGTCACCTTGTTGATGTTAATGGAGAAATTATTTTCTCCCTTTCCTGTTTCACTAATCTTGTTGCTTTTAGTTTTCATATGAGTTTTGAATGAGAAGATTCAATTCAATTCACATTGTCCATGAATAATGGCCACATGGTTAATGTTCTGTTTCAGAAAGCAGAGGATGTAATTAAGTTCCTCAAAATGGATTGCCTCTATTAGAGTGGGAATTCTGTGCAAAGAAAACCGACAGGAATACCGATCTTGTTTTGCAGTGCAGATTCTGTTTTAAAACCAGCCAGAATTTCCATGTGTTTCACTTTGTTATTCTGAGATGAACTTGTATGTAAGCTGACAATGACTTTTCCTCCACTGCTGCCCTGACAGCGGTGCAGAGCCGGGATGCAGCCTGGTACCATTCCCTGACCGCACCGTTGAGCGAGGATCAGAAGAAACAGCTGCAGGAGATCTACACATTAGCAGAGCATAGGAGAACTGCTGCAGGTGAGTCAGTTCCCTGGGCCCCTTTCAGCTCTTGCAGAGATGTTGCAACTGCTTCTAATCTGTAAGGACCACCTCTGTGCTAATTAATGTTTTCTAGGAAGCGTGAACAGGCTATCATTATTACATTCTTCCTTGCCTGGAAGTGTGTGTTATTCAGAGTAAGTTTATTGTTGTTTCTAATTAATTGCCTTCTCATTGACTTGTGCTGCTGTTTGAACGGGGTATGAACTAGTTTTACACAATCTGACATTTGAAATTAAGATCAAATTAAGGCAATATCTATCTGCAGACAGGCATTTGATGAAGATTACTATCAGTTATTATGTGTTTAACAGTTTTCTAACTTTTTAACTACTTATGTTACCTTGCAGTTAGTGTGAGGTTTTAGATGTGTAGAAAGCTTGCATCATGGAAAATAAATTCAGATTTAGTCAAGAAGAATGCAGAATAGTGTAGCATAAACTGATTCAGTAAAGGATTAATTTCTCAACTGTGTTGCAGAGGTGTGCACATTTATGCTTTCAGAGAAAACCTGAGTGTAATTCATTCCTGTCATTGCATTTAGGGAATGAAATTTTGACTCAGCTGAGTGTTTTTTCCATAACTTTTGCATTTGTAGTTGAGCTGTATTGTCTCTGACAGTGGTGTTCTTTGTAGACGATTTTTCATATCCTTTTTCTTTGAATTCTAGAGACTAAGACAATAGAACAACAAAGTGGCTACACATTTGACAACAAAGGACTGATCACAGCATTTAATTTTGCTGGAAATACTCCCGGTGGCAACTGAAGGATCGGCTACAAAGATCAATGGGAAGGGTCTCATCACTACATTTTCTTGAAATTATCGTGACTTCTGAGTGATACAGGAGGGTAATTTAATGCAGCTGAAGGTTTTATGGGTAATAGTGGTGTGCTTCCCCCACCAGAGTGCTCTTTTTAACCAGCTACTGAAATGTACAAATTCTTGTGGTGTTTTTATAATTTGATGGACTGAAAGGAAATGTTCATCCTCAAGGAACCTGGATGACTGGGAGGGGCCAGGCTGCATCTAATTGAGTTGCACTTCTCAGGTTTTTGCTGTGCAGAATTGATAGATTCAAATGGATAACAGTGCCTTCTGTTGTACATGGATTGCCTGAACAAATGGATTTTGGAGTGCATTATAATTTTTTAAGTGTAAGGACATTTCTTGATACACTGTAAGCCTTGGTTCCATGTTTTCCAATCACCTGCTTTTTACTGCTCAGTTTACTTGTTTGTTGGTTGCATACAAATTGCTGGATTCAGAATATTAGTACACCTTCCCAATTTGGTGTAGACCAAATGAGTAGAGGGAGGTGTCTGTTGGAGTTGCAGAGCATACACTGGTTACGTCAAAGGGTCTTAACAAAATGGCAGATTTTTCCTTGATGCAGTAGTCTTAAATTATTTTCTTAGCCATGAATTCAACTCGCTTGAGTTACAGTGGCTTGCCTGGCAGGTGGCTACTCTAAATCTACATCAATATTAGCTCCTTCCTGGACAAGTGGTGTGGCCCTCTCATGTAGGTGTTCTACATGACAGCTTTTTGCTATTATTGATGAATATTGGATTATATGTGGGATAATCTCTTCTGTTTTTTTTCATTCATTACCATTCCAGTGGTAGTACTGAATAATGTGGTACAAAATATTTGCAATATTTTATTTATTTTGATAGAAGAAGAACAGCTTCAAACTTACTTTTTACTGTTACACTCTGATTGTATTTCTGGTCTGCATTGCAGTTGGTTATTCTTGTTCCATGCTGAAATTTCTTCTGACAGATTTTTTTCCTGAATTTTGAAGACTGTTTTCACCGCTGGAGGTTCAGACTAGATATTAGGAAAAATTTCCTTATGGGAACCGTGGTCACACATTGGAACAGGTTGCCCAGGGAAGTGGGAAGAATCAACATCCCTGGAAGTGTTTAAGCAACACGTAGATGTGGCACTTAGGGACAGGGTTTTGCAGTGAACATGGGGTTAACAGTTGTACTTAATGACCTTAGAGGTCTTTTCCAACCTAAAGGGTTCTATAGGACAAGGTGTTTGTGGAGAATTTCATCTAGAGAGGAAGTGATAGCAGTACTAATTTGAATAGGTGCCCCTCCTTTAGGTTTACTGGGATCGCAGTGGTGTAGCAAAAAGCAGTAGGGGTCCTTTAGAATGTCAACTTTGGATTGGAGATAAAATGTTTAGACCAGATTTTGTCTCTGTGTTAATTTCTTTATGGTTTAAAAATATTCACCAATCAATATTAAACACATACTAATAATCTATTTCTTTACAGCAGCATCCCAAATAAAAAGTCAAATCCTTTCCCATACCCCATCAAATTTTCCACAACTACAGTAAATTACTACTGGCTCTGTGCAGTGCTCTAGCTTTCATTTTGTCATTCTGGGTGAGTCTGATGAATCTGAAGCACTCTGTGCCTTGGCTTCTGGAAAAGGCCAGAGGATCTCTGCCCATTCCTTCTGGAATTTTCCTAGCCTGGCAGCTGTGAGGCAGAATGTTCCCTACACTTTCCTGTTTCCTGCACCTTTTTGTCAGACTCTAAGGCTGTTTCTGTGCTGCTGCTTCCTCTTTCTTTTTTTTGCCTTCCTCTCCCCAGCAGCTACAGAGTAAAGTTGGCCTGGTTCATGTAGGTTTTTCACTGTTGCTACTTAGTTAATAGCAGCAGTGAAAATGGCTCGTTTTTAGGCCTATTGTACATGTGGAAAGTTGTGAGAATTCCAGGGTCTGTATTTCCAAAAGGGAACAGTCTATTTGAGCTGCATTGGACAGGTTGTCTAAGGTCAAGCAGCAGAGAGCCAAGATAGCCTTTATTTTGAATGTCAGGTTATGAAAATTACAGGTCACTTGCTAATTTAGGCCTGGGGGTGTACTGACTGAGATAGTACATAGGAAAGCAATACATGCAGTTTGTTGGTGAGTTTAACAGAAACCACAGAAGTTTTGAAATAATTCATGAAGTTAAGAAATGGTTTTTGGAAGTTAAGGGCACTGGCGACTTTTCTCTTACCTGTCAATTCAAGTATTAGGCAGGTAAACTGTTTAAGCCCTTTATTATTTTATTAAAAGAAACTAGATTGTCAAGTTGGGTTTCTTTTAAAGCCCATTTGCCTTCTCTACACTGGTGTGCAGAGTAGAAGATGGATTTATTTTTCTTCTGCTAATGAGGTTGCTTGCACAGTCACAAGCTAATATATAGGAGTTGATGTGTTCAAGGTAAAATCTGCTTTTGCATAGCATCATCTTGGTGTCACTAAGCTGAACTATGGCTGCTCCCTAGTTCTGCTTCTTGTATACTTTTCAAATCAGCTGCCAAGAAAATTTCATCCAGATGTTTCATACAAGAGTTTAATCAGCATTGTGGAGTTGGGAATCTTTGTTGTCTATTTTGCACTGGGGTCAGAGATGTCTGAGGGAATGGCATGTAAAAAGGTTAAATGCCTTTCCCTTCCCAGAAGATTCATGAGCAAATGTTTCTACTGGCCAAAGCAAATGTTAATTATTTTATTCTTTTTTTCTGAAAAGTGTTTTCTTCCAAAAAGAATTACTGGGCTCTGGCCTCCACTTTAACATATGGTTCTCTTTTAACATGATAAATACCCATTTGTACATGATCATAAATAGGTAATGGATTTTAGGTGTTTCTTTCTGAGTTATTGTCCAGCTTTGTACTGCATTAAAGGGAGAGTAACACAAATGTGCATTTACTGTCTCACTTTGAAGCCGAGGTAATCATGGAATATCAGATACCAGCACTGCCAACCAAGCATGATGTATTTGCCAATGGAAGGATAGGGAATCATGAATGTATTGCAAAATAAAACAATGTCTGATAACTGGTGATTTATGTTGCCCCACGCCCATAATCCCAAAGTGCCCATGTGGGCACCACAGTGGCTTTACAGAGGAAATTAGTGTTATGGGGGTTATAATCATAGCAAATGTGAACTTACATAAGCTACTTTTCCAGATAAAATTAACTGATCCTGGGTGTTGAACTGCATATACTGTTTTGTCACTTGTGAAAGGAAAATAAGAATCACCACGTGTTTTGGCTGCCTCTTTTTGCTGTCTCTCTTTCAGCACTGAAGTACATTGCTTGCTTTCATTACAAAGCAGAATCTTTAATTACAATTCCCATCTCCAGGAAGAGTGCAGAATATCAAGCTGAGGAAAAAGGTGAAAAACCCCAAACCTCAACAATCCCCTAAAAACCCACATGTGGACAATCTGACTGAAATGAATGTATTTTGGGAGTATTAAGTCAAAATATTTAAAGAACGTCACACAAAATTATATTGTTTGCTTTAAGGAAAGCAAATTTTGTGAGATTCTTTGCTTTAGGGAAAACGGCTGCCTGTGGGGTGTCAGGGAGGCATGAAATGCTCTGGTTTAGGATGTGCCCTCTGCCTGTGAAGTCCTGGCAGTTTGAGACTCTGGATTCCATCATACATTGTAGATGAAAGACGGTAGGACATTAGAGGATTTTTTTTTTCCTTCCTACAAAACCAGAGTCTGTCTTGAGACTGTCTTGAGCCAAAGGAATTGTAGAGAACATTAATGATTTAACTGTCTTGTTTCCAGAATACTTTTCTGTCTTTTTCTTCCCTCCTTTTCTTCTTTTGTCACCCACAATGTTATGGATATTTCAGGGAGTTTTGAAAAGCCATGAAAAGGTAAACCTTAAACAATTTTTATAAAATCTTTTTCTTGAAGGAATGCAATTCATCAGTTGCATTTCTCTCTGTAGAACAGTCTCTCATTTGACATACACAGATGATACAGAACTTCAGAAGTCCCTCACTTGTACCTGTGGTTTGATAAGCCTCTCTGTGATTTACTCCTTAATATGGGCACTTTGAAATCCCTATACCTTGTACTGAAATTTGCTCAGAGGATAAGCAAAAATGCACTATGTAATGGAGTACCCAGTCCTCATTCTGAGATATGCCCCAGTCAATCTTTTGTTAATATTTGCCAGTCTGGTGGTCAGTTCCTCAAAGGCCTCTGTCTCTGATTGAGGACTTTCTTCAAGTCCAAGTGGCTGTTTCTGCAGGTAGGCAGAGAATCGATTTTCCTCACTGCAGAAAAGCATACAGCAGGCATTTCTATGAAATTCCTGATCTTAGGAGTGAGAATAGCATTCTTTTCTCTGGGATACCAGGTTTAACCCAGGTGGGTGAGACACAGTAGAGATGCATGTTCCCACTGTGTTTAAGTAAGCCAGATTCTAGATACCAGGAAGTCTTGGCATAAAACCATATAGTGAAGAGGATGTGTGAACAGGGCAAGCTGCTTGCTTAGGACACCTCTTCCACTGCTACTAGCTTTGTTACACTAATCAGAGAAAACCAGTGTAAAATGAAAGAAAATTAAAGCAGTGCTTGGGCACTGCACAGGCAGAAAGTTTCCTGGCATGTGGATCACTGCAAATACATGCAGATACTCTTCAAATACAATATGCATCATCTGTATGGATGTCAGTACCCTGACTGACAGCAGTTAATGAGAGGTGAAGACTTAATGTGATTTTTCTCTGGCAGAAATCAGATGCATCCCTTTAAAATGTCTGGAAACTGCTTGTCCTTACTGATATGCAATCACCAACATGAGACACTCAGTGGGATTACAATCTTTCTTAAAGATGATCAGCATACCTCCTAAAGAGCTACTGAAAGTGCTCTTTGTCTAGGGAGCTGGCACATGAACTACTCTTGGATTAGAAGAGTTTTGGGGAACACTAATTCAGAGAGAATCTGCAGGCATATGTGATTGTGATGAATTGGGAAAGGATCCATCTAAATTGAGGGGATGCTTTTGATATGATCGGAGATCTGCAGCATTCCCAATGTTGCCCAAAGGTCTTCTAGAGCAGCATCCAAGAACTTTGTTCCATGCCTGCCTTTGGGAAGAGAATGTGCTTGGGCAGCCCTAAATTTGATGCAGTGCTTTAAACTTGAGATCAGAAAAAAATTTTAGTACAAGTTGTTCGTAACATAAAAATAGTGTGGAAGTGGTATATTAGTGCTAGAATTCTCTTTGTAGGCTGTATAGAGGTTCACAGTTTAAGAGTTTAGCTCTGTTCATGATCGTGTAGGAGTTGATGTTCCAGATACATGGATTTCTCCAACATGAATACAACAGTGTCAGCTTCAGGATTCACCTGAGAGAGTGTCAGGGGCTGCCTGCTGGACATCTGGATTATGTTACATGAAGTGAAGTGCAAAAACTGTGAAAATCACTTGATAGTTAAAGCTGTTGAGCAACAAAAATTGTCTTGAAATGAGATTTTAGTATTTTACTCAGGTATGTTATAATTTTCACATTTTGTGCCCTTATACAAAATGTAAAATTACTGCATAACATAGAGGCCTATTCATTTCTCACAGAACTGTTCACCATTGAAGGTGTTTATCCAAGAATTGTTCTTCATTTTCAACAGGTTTGTTTGTGAAGTTGCACATATCCATCTTTCACCACTTTTCATGCACAGAGATCTTGGAAATTAACTTCACAAAAGGAAGAACAGTGCTTTGAAAAGAGAATATTATGCATAGCAGGTTATTTTTAGAAAACAGAAGAACTATGGCTTCTGAAGAAAATATGAAACCGTAAATATTTATACAAGCGTGCATGAGGTAAAGAAATTAATGTAAGACAATATAAGCAAAACTTGTTCTTTGATCACAGCTGTAACATTTATTTTTCATTGCCAAACAATGTGTGACACTTACTTTTGATTGCATGTGCTGTTCAAATAACGCCTAACATAAATCACATGAAATGTTTTGGGGGCTCAAAAAGAGACCAAAGAGGCCATGCACATTTCTTTTGATACTAAAAGCAAAGACATGAGCCCAGGACTGCTGCGACTGGAGGGAGCCTGCTATGTGCTACATTAGCAGATTGAATTGCAGGATCATCACCTTTGTAAAAAACCTGAAATATTAAACTGTGGGTTGGCTTTGAGGGCAAGAACTGACAAATGCAAAGCATGCATTGGTGACAAGAAGAACCTCTTCCTAGCTTAAAGAGTTCTGTACAGTGTTCTCTTAAGCTGTGCTGAATTTGCTTTAAAAACAGTAATAAATCTTATTGCTTAGGTCGAATGTTACATCTGTTGTGCATTTATATGGGAAGAATAATATTTCTTTAAAAACTGTAACATGCCACCTACCAAGGAGCCAAATCTCATTTTATAGCTGCTTTTCATACAGCCATGAAACTTCTTTGCAAAAACACCTGAGAATTAATTTTAAACAAATGTGTGTGTTATCCAGAGTTAATATGTGCATTGTGTAGCAGTGTGTTTGTTAATCTCTGCCTCGTGCAGGCAGCTGTTCACTTACACTCATTGGCTGTGAAAGAACATAACTGATGGTTGACACAGAACACCTGAACACAGTTCTCAAAATATCAAACTAGTGAAGATAGTCATCTGCACCAGAGCTTGGACCAGTCTGCTGTGCATGGAATTCATAAAGAAGGCACTGTCCAGCCTTCCACAGGACAAAAAATGAATTTTCCAGGCTGGAACTGCAAGCCTGGTATTTGTATCAGTGGAGTATTTCTCTGGTGGTGAGTTGCTGGAGCAGCCTGTTTGTTAAATTGCATTAGTTGATAATGCTTGCCCTTTACTCTGTGAGCCACTTCTGTGTCCTCCACAGTCTGTCTCTCTGAAAGCAGTGCTTAGTGGTCTATGTTTTTGAACTAGGGAGGCTGAATTAGTGTAGTTTGTCCAAAGCCATAGCAACGTGTTGCAGCTGGCATGAGAAATTAAAATTCTGGCTCTGTAGAAGTGCCTGGGAGTTTTGCTATTGGCTCTAACAGAGCTGGGATTTTACCCATGTAATTTGCTAGGTCCTGATGTTTGGATTACTGCTGATACCTTCCACAGAAGCTCTGCCAGAACGTACTTAATTTATGAAATTGCTCAGCAACAGCAAGTTCCACTACTGAACTGCAATTTTAATCTGTCTAGCGGTGACACTGTTTAATTGTATTTTGTGTGGGTTGCTTGGTATGACAAGCTCTCCTGGAGAAAAAATGGTTCTCAGCAAGGTGATGAATGACATCCCAATTGCTAATTCCCCTTGAGGCTTTGAAGTGAACGTGATGGATTGGAAGCAGAACTCCAGAGGACTGGTGGTATCGTCTGCACCATGTGTGAGGGTGCAGGTTGGGAAGCCCCTCTGCAGGTGTTAACAAACATTCTGGATTGGTTGTGAGGTTGCAGGTTGTGATTGCCACTTCTAACAGGCTCTAAAGAGTGTATTTGCAACCAAGTAAATATTTGGGTCCTGTGCTGCCTCCTGCCCTCTGACACTGTTAATCTTTTTTGGACTAGAATCACATTCTTAACCTGAATTCTAACTCCCAGTCTCATAAAATGGTAACTTGTTTCATCTGGTCCCCAGCAAGGGTGAAATAGGATCAGTGTTTGCTTTCTCTCGTTGCCAGGTATGTTAAATGAACACTTTAAATAATTTAATTACTCATTTGATTAAATTACTGGGACTTTACCCAATGTCATGCAGTTTCCTGCTGTTTTGTTTTTTTTTTCTGGCAGAGCTCAAGCTACATGGTATTTTGTGTACATCAGGAAAACTCGCCATAGTTGCATAAATGAGATTCTGAGCAAAGTACAGACTATGGAAAGGACATATCAGTATATGAATAATGGATTTTTTCCTTTTTTATTAAATGCATTGGCTTTCTATCTCTCAGTACCTTGTAGATCAGCATGTGCAACTACAACAACTAAGGGTGCCTTAAGCAGTTGGTATTTAATAGAAATACTCCATACTATCCTTTTTACACAACATACCTTGCCTGCCCTGAGAGGTTGTTGTGCAAAGTGTGGCAGTGGGGCCAAATGTCAGCACCTTTGTGTAGGGATTTGAGCACAGCCATGGGACTGGCACTGGGCTCTCAGCAGCAGTTGTGGCTGCGTTCTGCAAGAGTTTTGTCCTCACAGGGAAAGCTCACCCTGTGTCTCATGTTCCTCCTGCCATGAGGATCTTCCTGGAGGATACAGGGGGTTAAACAAAACTGCAAGGAGAATAATCAGACAACATCACAGTGCATCTGACTGTGCACTGAACTGAACTGGTTATCACCATCCTTTTGCTATGTATAGACCACTCAAATGTGTCAGCATGAGGTGAGATTAAACAGAGACATGGAGTCTAGTGTGGCAAGGATCATAATTCTGCCAAACAAGAATCAACTCAGGGTGAACAGCATGAATAGCTCAATTTCTGTTAGTGTTTTGAAGAAAAACTGACAAGGATCTGTCTGCACCATTGTGACGGAAGGAAAAGAAAGAAAAGAAAAAGCCAGCCTGGCCAAGAGAGAATCCATGCACAAGAAATACCCTAAACATTGATTTCACTGGAACACTGTGAAGAAGAGTGACTGTCCAGAATATTTATCCCAATGCATTGTTAATCAAAAGGTTTACTGATTACATGAAGGTAGATTTAAGGTAAAGAGGTTGCAGATACTTTCCTATTGTGCTTCTCTGATCTGTAAGTACTTTGGAACCTGGGGCTGTCTGAGCCACCAGGCTGGAGGCTCTAAAGAACTTTCCTGGCTGCCAAGGGTTGTTCTGTCAATAAGAGACAATTCTGCACAGTCTCAGGCTGCCTCCATTATTGTGGTTCCTTCTTCCTAAGTCTGGTGAAGGCTCATTTGATATTTTGTTTAATGGGATTTTCCATTGGTGATTGGTATTCTTCTAATAAAATACACAAACCACTGTCACTGTGTGGCTGAAATAGCAGCTGGTTTTGGTTGCAAATCATTCCTGGTTGCCTGCCTCAGGAGGAGTGCTTGTGTTAGTCTCTGTTTGCTCTGATAAAGCTTTGTTACCTTCTCACTTTGCTCTCTGTTCTGTAGTTTCACAATGCAGTGATCTTCCAGGGCATCAGGATGTTGTCTTAGATCTTCAGCTTCTGCTTTTTGTAAACACAGAAATTTGCTCACTTCGTTGTGATTCTGGATTCCTCTGTCCTCTTCTCACATGTGCACCTCTTTGGGGTTTGTGACTCTGATCTGCTGAATTAGGAAGAACTGTGGTGTGGTGGTAGATTTTTCTGTCAATAGATACTCCCATAAAGCATGGATAATGAGATTTTCTTACTGTTCTCTTTATTTAGATACAGTTTCATGTAAAATGTCTTCAAATAGATTTTGTGCAATTTTATTTCAGTGTTTCAGGACCAAAATACTGAATCAAGGTCCACATCTTTAAATGATGAAATTCTGTAATTGTATTGCAGGTTGGGAAAGATACAGAAAACATGAGGCAAACACATCCAAGATTAACTATGAAAAGAAAAAGAGAGTATTGCTTTGCTTATAAACTGTACATATTTAGTATTTATCTTAGTATTTATATTTAAAAATATCTCCATATTTTTGCTTTGTTCCAGTTTTGGGCAGGGGAAGATTTAATTTGCTTCTGCTTTTTATTTGGGTATGGAGCTGTAGTTGACTTTTAACTCTGGATTTTACTTTATGACAATATTGCTGCAGGAAAATATAGCACCAGCTACTTAATGTCAAAGGATGTGTGCTAGTTTATTTTGTTGCCATTTTTGTGGCTTTCATCCAAGGTCACTTGTGTCATGGGACACCTGAGTCCAAGATTTATTCTGCTGCAGGAGATTGCCTAGCAGTATGCTAACAGTTAATAATCTAAAGAATTTTTGAAGCTATATTAAAGCACAGGGAAGCATTTTATCCTTCTCTGAATGGTTCCTATTTCACAACAAAACTTTGTACAATAACATTTTCTTACTTTTTTAGAAATATCCCCCCTTTTGGTTGAGGAAAAAAATAGAGGGCAAAAATCAGCAACTGTGGACCTTTGAAGATATACAGATGAGCAGGATATGGAATGCTAATAGGTAGATAAGGCAAAAAATAAGCACACTACCTAATTTTAGGCACCTAATTTAGATTAGGAGGCTTATCTTGTTAGGTTTTTGTTAGGAGGGTGAGAGATAGCCAGAGTTCTGCTCCTAAGGCATCAGATGCTCAAAGTCATCGTCTGGCAAAGCCTGCTTCCTTCTCATAAAGCAAGCTCAGGGAAATGTGCCATCCATGTTGGGTGGGGAATTCTGCTAATGTGAGTGCACTCCTGGTGTGTTTATTTTGAGGGGAAAGAGAAACACTCAGGAGGTTTATAACCTATAGTAATTAGAGAAGAAAAGTCTCCACATCTTGTTTGCTGGTTGTGTGCAAGTGAATAGTCAGTTTTGTTGATGTTTGTGCGTAAGAGAGATTCTGAAACATGACTAATTTGATGCATATGCTTTGTCTTGCCATGATAAATTAGAACCTTTCCATACCCAGGAGCTGAGCTGTAGCTCTTCTTGATTTAAAGTATGTTATGCTGCCTTAATTGCACCATTTATCATGACTTTCTGGTGCTTTTTAATTTTGTGTTTTACTGTGGATTCTCTAATCTAAGTAAATGATGCTACAGCATTCAGGAAACTTGGAGGGCAGTCAAGGCAGCACTTCATCAGCTCTCTGAAAGATATTCTATGAACACCAGAGTTGTAGGACCTTGAATAAAGGCCATTGGCTTGCAGTGCTTGGAACTCTGCGGGACAGAAGCACCTAAAGATATCTAAGGTTCTGATTCTAAGTAGCTGAAGGTGTTGAGCCCCTGGGCCAACGGTGTCCATATCTGTCTTTTAAAATTAGGGGAAAGCCCTAAAGAAAGGAAACAGCCCTTGAAGGAGTATGTTACAGAGCTGAATTTTCTATTGATTTCTATTACACTCCTTCCTTGAAGACTGAGAACCAGACCTTAGTTCAGGTTAGAAGGGAGCTTAGGAAATTCCTACTCAATCTGCTGCACAAAGCACAGCCAGCTCAGACATCAGAGAAGATGGCTCAGAATTTTATCCAGCCTTTCTGCTCTTTCTGTAGGATGGGCGGAGGAAATTCGAGGGTAGCAGAATAGCTTGGTTGGCCTGTGTGGGCAGAGATCATTAGGAGGGCAGGTGCTTGACTTGTTCAAATGTGATAATGGCAATAATCTTGAATGAAGTGGCTCTGCTTCCAGCAGAGCATAATTAGCCTTTGCATTTGA